GTTTTTTAGTTATATATACCTTTTTAAATTATTATTATTATTATTATTATTAGTTAATATTATTTTTGAAAGTATATGTTAGTTTATATTACGTAAACTTATAAAATTGTTTTTGTTTGTGTATGTGTGAGTGTGTGTGTGGTGTGTGTGTGTATGTGTGTGTGTATGTGGTGTGCGTGTGTCCGTCCATGTTGACCTGGTTGAATTGAAAGGCAAACATCGTTGAACTCAGACCCGAACCTACTTGAAATGTGTTTGGCTGCATTACTTGCATTTCACACATATACAAAATTGTTTGATTATGATGCACCGGCACAGTAAGTATGGCAAGCTTAGTAATGTTTCATTGTAGAATTAGATGGTTGGGTTTATACTGATGAATTGTTTTATAGTTTCACATAAGTGTAGATAATAATATTGAAGTTTAATTTTTCAAAAATATAAGGGTGCATAAAATGTAAATGTTAGTAAAGGTTATCAGTACCATCTACATGTATGTATAAAATTCCACACCTTCACACACGTGCATGTGAGTGTATACATGACTCAGGTAAGTTTAATTGTTAGAAGCCAGAGGGGATGTACAATGATGTCTATCTATCATGCATTTAGTGATGCATACATGTATGTGCTTATTACTGTATGCCTGTTTTTTTTATGTGGTTTTATTTCCTTAATGGTGTCGTTGTCTTTTTATATCAACCTAACTTATTTTTTTTAATAGACGTTATTCTATGATATTAACTAACCTAGAAGCCTTTTGATCGTAACCAACTTGCTTTTAAGTTATTTTATTGCTTTCTTATTAGTCTTATTGCAGTTGGTAAATGATTAAACACAATTTAAATTTGATATAAACTTGATGAACTCTACTTAGTGTAGGGCAAGTTTAGTTATTAATATATATAGCTTGCCTTATTTTTCAGGATGTTTGAGCGCAGTTACGGCTAGAGTTCTAGTAGGATGGATGAAATTTAGGGAACTGGGTGGGGTATTGTGTGGAAAGAAATGGTCAGTGAAGATGAAAGGGAGGGTATATAAAGCATGTGTGAGAGCAGCGATGGTATATGGTGGAGAAACTTTGGTGTTGAGGAGAGAGGAGGAAAGTGTACTGCAGAGGGCTGAAAGAGCTATGGTGAGGATGATATGTGGGGTTAAAGTGAAGGATAGGAGGAGTAGTACAGAGCTGATGTCAATGATGGGACTGAATGAGGACATTGTGACATTGATAAGGAGATCGAGATTGCGATGGTATGGACATGTGTTGAGAAGGGATGAAAGGGTCGGGATTAGGCGAGCGTTGAATTTCGAGGTTGAAGGAGTGGTAGGAAGGGGTCATCCGCGATTGGGATGGAGAGAGCAGGTGGAGAAGGACAGGGTGAAAGCGGGGTTGCGTGATACTGAGGCGAGTGACAGATGTGGATGGCGTAGAGGGGTATTTCGGTTTCATCATAGGTAGCCAAACGGCAACCCCCGATCTCGGGGAAAATGTCGTCTAAACGTGTGTTGTTGTTGTTGTTGCCTTATTTTTCAATGTGCCATTAACTCTGGTCATCACAACATTATTCCAAAGAATTTACAAATTTTCAATTTAAAGTTAATTGAGAGTTTACAAAATACTTTCAACTTTTTAACTACTCTTTCTGTATACTTTTTTGTAGAAAAAGTTTGTGTGTGTTAGAAAAAATATTAACTCAACTAGATTGAAAGAAAAGTTGACAGAACACAGATTTAAGTTGATGAACATGAGTAAAATTGATTAGCATTGACTAAGATGTATGAAGCAAGAAAACATGAATCTTTGATTGGTTTTGATGTTTCATGATGTTGTAGAGGAATAAATATATGGAAATTTTTTTCAAAAATTTAAAATATTTCGTTTGTAAGGAATTTTCTGTCAGAATAAGATTAATGATGCAAGTTCAATTATAATAAAACTTAAGATTATTATAATTATAATTGTTATTAACAATATTTTTATTATTTTTGTTCAACATAAAGCATTTATCTGTTTGTTATATATTCTCCTTTAATACATATAATTCATTTTGAATGATGTATCTTTGTTATTATTTTATGACGTCTTGAAAATTGTATTTCAAATTACAAATCTGTCAAAATGTTGATCTGGTGTTGGTTGGTTCATGCACTCATGTCTGTCCATCCATGCTTGGTTATCCAGACAGCTTTTATAGCCAAGCTATAATTTTTTGATTGTCTTAATCTCATTTTAATTCAATTTCACATCGTCCTTAGAGTAAATAGTAAATATTTGTTTTTCATTTCGATTTTTAAACAATCTGTATTTATTTACGATCAGAATTCTTTGATGTGGCAGTTATGTTTTATATTTTACTTATTCAGCTATGGTTGTAAATAGTTGCAGCAGCAGCTGCAGTAGTAGGTGAGGTAATATGTTTATACCAGTACTACATATATTTATTTCTGCTAATTTTTATTCTTTATAGTTTTAATTGTATAATAGTTTTTCAGTTAACGTTAAGTCATTTCATTTTTCTAATTTTTTTCATAGTTAAAACTCACTATCATTCTTTTAATCACTGCAGTTAACATCAAATATTATGAGCTGTCTGTGTGCAGAAGAAAGTATTTTCTTACAACATGCATATTCATCCATTCAGCATCATCTTTTTATCATCATCATCAACGACCAAGCATCATTACTGTTGTTGTCATCATCACCATTCTCATTGGTGTTGTTGTCATCACATTATCACATAATCATCATCATCAGTAGCGGGGTATTATTGTTATTCAGGTGAGTTGATGCTGCTGACACTAATGAACATCTAATGAGCTAAATTATTTTTTGTCTCCTCTGTTTATTAGTTTCATCACCCGCCTGTAATGTGGTGTGGCTATGATTGATGTGATGTAATGTCATTTAATTTGATGTATAAACGGGATTAATTTGATGCAATTCAATGTAATGTAATGTAGTGGGATGCTTTTTAATCAATCACTGCTTTTCTGTCTGCCGGTCTATCTACCAGCCTTGCCACTGCCATCTATGTTAGGAATCCAACTGAATGTAGTTTTGATGAATGACCACCTGCTCCACTTGTTTCTATGATCAGCATGAAAATCAATTCAACAGGATGATAATATTGACTATAGTACAACATACGCTAAGATGATAATACTGGTGGTGATAGTATTTTGGCTAAGATAATAATAACGCTGATGATGGCAGTGAAGATATGATGATTCAGATAAAAAAAAACTGGATAGGCTTATTTAGTGAGTGAGTGAGTAGTAAGCTTGTTAATTTGTTGCCTGCACGTTTGCTAGGTCAAGTTTATTTTCAACAAAGCTTCTGCAGCTCTTTCAATTGAAATTTTTTCATGATATAATGTCCTAGTCACTGACATAACTACATCTGCTGTTCATCATCATTCCTTCAATTCTATTTTTATTTTTGATTCAAATACACACAAGATACATATTTATAATATCACTGCTTGTTATTTGTGAATATGTTTTATAATCTACATCATTTTGAATGTAAAACTTCATCTATTACATCAAGTGACATCTATTTTTTTAATAACAATTTTATTCATACTAAATTTTTTGTTTGCTAAACTTGCTAGCATTATTAAAAATGAGCAACTTATCTCTCTCTCTCTCTCCACTTGCTACCTACTTATTCACCTATTTAGGTTAGGTGCATGTAGTATGCTACATTGTGCAATAATAATTTTGAAAATTTAATTGCATTGTTTATCTTTTTGTGGTTTGTACATATTTATGTTACATATTATCTCTATCTTGGTGAGAATTCCACTGTTTATGCTAATAATTAGAATTTGACTTGAACGCTGAATAAGATTCTGGTAAATTACTTTTAAATAGAGCTCTTTAGTTACCTATAACATAACTATACTAATATTTACGTTATAGGTTCAATTAGAGATAGCCAGTGAAAAATTTTCCATTTAACGCATAGATTACTTTGGTAAATTCTGATAATGCAATACGTTTTATCTAGCCAATATTTTACCAATTATGAATAGTTGGGTTTCAAACTATATAGAAAAAATATTTTGTTGGTCCATGCATTAATTTTTTTATAATATCCATGTATATATAATATAGATGTATGTATATATTTTCGCTTGCTGGTTAGAAATGTTGAGTCAGCGTAATTTTGTACACATAGATGAGAATTAAATTGTATTGATTCAATTTTCTGAAATGCACCTAGATATCACTATCCTTATTTCTGTACAATCATTATTCATCCCTCTTCACACATGTGTTTGTTTTCAGTTTGCACATTGACACTGATAAAAATTTTAATCTGTTCGTATGTGTTTTCAATTTCGCTTTTATTCATCCACCTCCTAAACTGTGTTTTCAATTTTTGTAACAGCAATATCTTTTTTATGATTTATATCAATATTAATTATTTTATTTATTTGTAAATTATTATGAATTCAAATCAATGATTTTTCAAAAGCAAGCCTTGTTTATACTGCTAACCTGTTGAATAATAATGAGAAGAGCAATTTAGGTGGCCATGGAAATTATTATAACTAAGTTTGCATATGCGAATTTTCAAGTACAACAGGCCAAAGTAAATGAAATTTTTTTTTGATGAACCAATCTGATTGAAGTATGAAGCATTAATAAACAAACCAACAACACACATCATCATCGCGTGTACGTGAACAGTTAACAGACAGACATGTATGCACACATCACAACATTAATGTTAACGTGCCAACAATGTGCAAATGTAATTCTTGCTTGCTTGCATGCATGTACGCCACAAATTGTGCGTTTGTGATTGATAACTCAGTTTGGCATAACATAACAGTAGCTATATTTTTCCTTTATTATTGACATTAATTGATAATCAAATTGCTCTGATTAAATGTTTTGAATTGATTTTTATTGACTTTAATGCGTATTAATAAAGCAAATTTGATTATTGAGCTTCTTTTTATTACAATCTCATGTGAATACAATGTTTTCAGTTTTCGCACCATCGCAACATCGCAACGTTTTATGGAGCCTTCATCAAAAAGAGCCTTTCGAGCAAGGAGGACCAACTCTGGCTGGTCATGGAGTTCTGTGGTGCTGGTTCCGTCACTGAACTTATCAAGGCTACCAAAGGTGAACGTTATTACATTTTAAGTTTGCCAATCACCATTTCATTTTGCTTCAAAGTAATTTTGTGTGAGATTTTAATTGAATTATTTGCTGCAGTCTAATCATTGATGGCCCAGTTCAGACTTATTTTAGGAAATTCTAATAATATGTATCTTTGATGTTTCTTTCAAAAGGATATTTGATAGTATTGTTTTTTTCTCAAATCATCATTCACACTTAGTCCATATTAATGTATGTCTGTGTTATGTTGGATGTTGATTTTTTCATTTTTGTTTGATGTCGTTTATATGTTCGTTTGAGGTGAGAAGAAATATATCTGGTGCTTCCATTGGTATGTGTATTCTTAGTTTTGTTGAGTACATTATTTCTGGTTTTATTTGTGCAAAGCACACACATTCACCATCCATATGTTTTGAGCATTATGCTCTTTCATGTAACTGCCTCGGGCTATGCAGTTGCTAAATTTATTTACATAATTTTTATTATCCTGGCCAGGTTATCAATTTTATTTTCAGTTAATAATGTAGTTTGCTGGGGCCTAGAATCCGATGTTTTATGTTTTTACTGGTACATCAGTGTTTTCAACTGTGTTAACATTGTTCTTCACATATTTTATTTCTATTGCATTCAGTTATTTAAATACACTTCAAGAATATGCAGAGCAACTAGGTAAAACAACAGTGTTGTTTTGCATGCGTTGTTGGTCATATTTTGAAATGCATTATCCGCATATTATTACATTACTTCAAATAGATTAACAATTTTATAGTGAAGTTTTAATAGACCGACCACTTCAGCATCTACACTCACCAATCATTTGCAATACAGGCAACAGTTTGAAGGAAGATTGGATAGCCTACATATCACGAGAGATTTTGAGAGGGTTGTCCCATCTGCACACCAACAAAGTCATACACAGAGATATCAAGGGTCAAAATGTTCTACTCACTGATAATGCTGATGTTAAGTTAGGTTTGTACAGTTTATCCTACTACTTTTGTCCTTTTTTTCGAAATTTTAATCTTAAGTTACAAAATGTCAATCATCATCACATCATCACATATGGGTATGTATATTCACTCACTATGAAAATAATTTAAGTTGAAAAGTACATGCATAAACATGAAAAAAGATCACACACACACACACGCGCGCGCGCGCGCGCACACACACGTTTTATCTGATTGCTCTTTTTATCTTATGTTTTGGCCTGGATGTTGAAAAGCCATTTTTTCATTAACTGATAAATTGCTCTTTCACTTTCATTTACATAAAAATACAAGCAAGCAGATATATGCTGAGGGTTAAAAAAATAAACCAATAAAAAAGTTCTCTTTAACAATGATCATGTTCTAGTAAGTTTAGTTTATTGATGTTTATCATTTGCTGGTGGATTAATAAGACCCGTTTTAAAACGAATTGTAATGGCTATAGTATACATGGTTAACATTGACTAAATATCTTCAATATCAATCTCCTGCCTATGAACTGATGCATAATTAAGGCAGGCTAACCAATTCAGCATCATACTCACTAAATTTTTATTCCATCTAATGGTTCTTCCATTACGAGCTGACATGGTGTTTCAGCTAATTACTTACTATGATTTATGACAGGATTTTAGTAAATGTCACAGTCACACATTTCCATTATGTCAGGTCTCTATGAACAATATATCTCTGTATATACTTAGCAATTTAGCAAATGTATATATTTAGTATAATTACTAAAGCAAACATTTCATCATCATTTCAACATCATTTTTTTAAGAGCAAACATTATTTTATTGTCAGCAACGAACTAAGTCATTCTCATCACCACATATTGTACAGACTAGCTAGCATTTTTAAGTTAAACATGCTCTATAAGTTGCTGAAAAAATGTTTTGACTGAAATGTTAGAAATGTTAGTACTACATGAGTAGATTATCATGTTAGTTAGTGCATTTTATTTATAATAGTTTAATTTCTTTCAAAACGTGAAGACAAATATTCCCATGCTGTCTTCATTTTCGTGTTAACTTTTTTGTATATACATTCTTAACAGTTGACTTTGGTGTAAGCGCTCAGCTGGACAAGACTATGAGTAAGAGAAACACATTCATCGGAACACCATATTGGTCAGTTTGGTTGAATGCATGTGTGTGTGTGTGTGTGTGTGTGTGGTGTGCGTGTGTGTGTGAATTAATAGTAAATTAGTAAATGCATGAAGGCATTAATGAGTGAATGGATGAATGTATGTATCATTGTTAAATGTATGAAATACACACACTTGAGCCAGGCACTAAACAAGCTCACATCAAAAGCTTCCCAAGCACCATAAAGATATATTTAAGTGAAAAATTTTGTATTCGAGTATCACTTTTTTTTCAAACTTCAATGGGCAAGTTATCTTTGTACTAGTTTATATATGTCAGTGGGTGACAGCTTAAGGTTTGACTCTAATTCATTTTAACAACTGATTACTCTCATCTAAAAACTGAACATTTTCTCAGACTGCCTCCTTGTTAAAAAGATTCAAATATATTTTCTTATAAAATGCAAAGATGGGATAGTTGAAATTAGTGAAAATATGCCAGACAAATCAATGTACAGTTTAGTAGACTGATTAATGGAAGAATTGAATTGAATCATCTGCTGAAAGTCATCAACAGCAGATGATAAATAAAGCAAGGGGGGCTAGACTAACTTGATGATGCAATAAAAAGTTGGATATCAATTTCATAATGAGCTCCTACTCAAATATAAATCACTATATTTTTTGTGATGGTAATTTGTTAACAATAGTAGCCTTGTTATTTAATATCATACTATAAGCTTTTGGGTTTAACAACATCATCAGCCATGCATTTAATTAGATTAGAAACTGATTTTTTTTTGTAATAATGCCTTTTTTCGACCTTATATGCTTTAATTAACGTGTAGTTGATCATTCAACATATCTAATGCAGATATCATTATTTATCTTAGGTATAATTTTATTAATAAGAATCACAGCTGTCACTTCTGCTTATGATATAGTGATTTTTAATAATCTTTGCCAATAATTTGAAGATAAATCGCGAGCATACATTCACAGTTATATTAATATGCCTTTTTTTGTTGGTTCATATTTTATTGTGTAGCATAGATGTATGGAGAAATGATACATCATAATGAATAAATTAATTTATTTACTTGTTTGTTTCTAGCACATTAGTTCTTACGTAAATTATTATTTGCCATTAAGACCTGTTATGATGATCTTATGAAAGAATGTTCTCATCATTTTCATTATTATTTTCGCTTCTGTCTGTGTGTGTGTGTGTGTGTGTGTGCGCGCGCGCGCGTGTGTGTGTGTGTTTGTTTGTTTGTTTGTGTTTGTGTGGGTCAGTCCGATTTAATAAAAAAATGTGATTTTATTCGATTGATGCTTTTTTCATTGAAGAATCAAAGCAACATATTACCATTAAATTTTTGACAAACATAGATAGATAAATAGATAGTTTAATAAAATTAAATGTATTATCAATAATTTCAAATGAAAAATGAAAGGATTAAAAGTTAAAATACAGATTAACCTGTTTTGCTAGTTAATAATTGTTTGTTTTTGTGACATAATCCTTGCTGGTGGTGTCACAGCTGACAATAACAACGATAATTAATGAAATCCACATTTCACTTCATTAGTCAGACTGACTTGTTTCCATGTTGTATACGTTGTGTGGAAGAGTTGTGCATTATTATACATGTGTGAATGAGTTGTGTGTTTGCTTACATGTGTGATTGAGTTGTTTGTGTGTTTGTATACGTTGTGTTTGTATACATGTATGATTGAGTTGTGCGTTTGAATACATGTGTGATTGAGTTTGTGTGTTTGTATACATGTGTGAAAGAGTTGTATTTGTATATATGTAAATGTACCCAAGTTTGTATGTTTGTATATTAAGCGTGGGAACGAACACAACAGTATACACAATGCATAGCAGAGATGAGAGATAGATAGATTACCCCGTTAAAAATAAGATGAAAAATTTGTAACCCTTTTCTCATCATTCATCATTGAACTTCTACACATTCAAGTAGTAATGGGTTGTGATTTTCCACATTGGTATATATATATATATATATATATATATATATATATATATATATATATATATATATATACATTAGGTATTTACTGCAATTTAAGATGGCCTTTTTGATTTTGTCATATGGAGAACTGCTGTTCAGTTTTTTTTATTTACAATAAGTTATGTATCATGAATATTTGTTTTGAGTTCGCTGGTAAAATGACGTTGTTAAAATGATGAGGCTGATGATGTTGTTGAAATAATGACGATGGTGATGGTGATAATGACGACGACGATAATGATGACGACGATGATAATGACGATGATGATGACATGATGGTAATGTTGTTTTAATTAGGATGGCTCCTGAAGTAATAGCCTGTGACACAAATCCCGGTGCAACTTATGGCTTTAAGGTTCCTTGATTGATGGGTGGTGTGATGTCACTATGGTCTCGATGGTGATGATGATGAGGATGATGAGTTTGTGATGATGATGATGATTAGTTTGTAATGATGGTGGTGGTAATGATAATGATTATAATGATATGGTTTTTGGAGTTTATTGATAATGTTCATGCTATACCACAGTTTTCATTATTAATTTTGACCTAATATAATATAATATTGAATTGTATTTAACTGTTTATAATAACTAAACTAATACAAAAGATCACAAGCAAATAGACAAATTCAGGCAATACACGCACACACACATACACACACGGCAGAGTGATTTGTGGTCATTGGGAATTACTGCAATAGAAATGGCTGAAGGGAAACCACGTATGTTATCATTTGCAACCCTCTTAACTAAATTAAATTCTTTAAATTTTATATTTTATCACCTTTTATTCAGAGATATTTATTATCTTTTTTAATTAATAATTATTTCGCACTTTTTGATGAAATTATTAATTTACAAATATTTTTTTTACATTTATAATGAACAGCCCTGAGTGACATACATCCAATGCGAGCTCTCTTCCTCATACCTCGATATCCACCCCCGAAACTGAGGCAGAAAAAATGGTTGGTGGATGTTGTTGTTGTTGTTATTGTTGTTGCTGCTGTTCTTGTCCTGATGTTTTTTGCTATGGTTAGTTGCTTTTAGGTTCTTTTAATAATATGAGAATGGTATAATATAGTATATACATACTTTTTGTATTTATTTTCTCACTTATTTGTTTAATTTTGTTCTACTGCCTTGCATGTTGTTACAGTTTCTGCGTCTGTCAGATCCTGATTTTAAAGAATAAATAAAAAAAAACGAATAACGAACTTCTACTAAAAGTCGTCCACGTCAAAATCACACGTTAATAATACTAAAATTAGACTGGAAAACAAACAAAATAATATTCGCTGTTGGTTTTCGCTTTCATCTACATGTACATCTACCAGCAAGGTAGGTACTCATAACTACTTATTCTTCCTTTCTCGTTTAGAAACTAAATCGGCGATGCGATTGAGTCATTTATTTTTTCGTAGTAATATGTACCATCCTCTGATATCAAAGGATTTTTAAACTTAGATGATCATAAAGAGGATGGTTCTTTCTTTCATGGTACATCGATGATACATTGGTGATACTCTGTCATTACGTTTTTATATGTTTGATTGTATCTACTTATCTGATACTCTATCATTACTCATTTAATTGTGTATCTGCTAAATTGTAGTATAATCTAATTACCATTAAATGGTACTCAACTTAACATGCTCATTTTAATTAAAAAATATTGGCTTTCGTTTTTTTTTCTAAGTTGATTCATTTTCTGTTCCACTCATGGATTACTCAATGGTGAAGTTTTTTAACTTTGTGTTTTTTTAAACAAGCCAGAACTATTTGATAAGTAATGTTTTATGTACAGCACTTCTCTATCATCGCGCTCATTTCTTTTGTTTTTTTGGGAATCTTAGTTAGCTGTTCGAATTGTTACAAAAAATACTACTTGCTCTGCTGCAAATACTTTCATTATGTTTATACTTAAATGTTATATATGAATGCTTGTATGTTTGTTTTTTTTGTATTTATTTATGTATTGTATGTATGTGTGTATGTATGTGTGTGTGTTTGTGAGTGTTTGTGTGTGTGTGTGCGTGCGTGCGTTCGTGTGTGTGTGTATCTAGTGCTTATGGTTAGATCAATGAATGTTAATTATCAAAGGAGTCATGTATGAAAGCAGGAATCTTATCAAAAATAGCATACTTTTTATTGAATGTAATTTGTAACTTTAAACTGGGTCAACATTTTTATAGTTCATCATTTTATCGTCATCATCATTATTATTCATTCATTCGTTTGTTTATTCCTTTCTTGTGTAATCATGTGTGATGATATCAGTGTAATCTACTTCATCCCCGTCATCATGGTTCTTAATGACGCCATCTTACACTATATCATGATAATTGGGTTATTATTTATAATAATTCTTCACCGTTTTTTTCCTTGACGTGATTGTTTTTTTCATCATCGTTTACATGAACACGCACGCATTTGAATGCGTACTTGAGCATGCAGGCAATGACACACGTTATGATAATACATTGCGTAGTATCCAACCTACCTACTCATGAAAATTTCATTTTAAAGTAGCAGTATCAACTTATAAGTACAAGTCAAGTTGTATTATTATCTATATTGCCCACATTTCTGTTATGTTACTGCTATATATGTTATATAAGAGTATAAATGCTGTATTAATTTGTGTTAAGTTATCTTATGTTGTGTTATGGCATGCTATGTTGGGTGGCTACTCCATGTTATTTCATACGAACGACGCTTTTGAACAGGACGGGGAAGTTTGTATCGTTCATAACAGACTGTCTGATCAAGGACCACAACTCGCGACCATCCACCGACCAACTCCTCAAGCATCCCTTCCTCAAGGATCTTCCCACTGAAAAGCAGGTCAAAGTTCAAATGAAGGAGCACATTGACAAACACAGGAAGAGCAAACGACGTCAGTGGTTTGCTTAGTTGTTTACTCTCTTAAGTGCCTCAGTCTGAAGTGCATTTTGTTCTTCATCTGTGGAGAAAATTATATCAATTTTGTGAACAATTAATTTGCTGATAACTAATTTGTTGTTATAAGCTTGCGCGTTGTTTTGAATATTAATTTCATTAAATTTTGCAGTTTCAATTTTTTGTTCGTATACTCGTAATCTAGTTGTTTTAATGGAACTTTTGAGATGTTTTAACTCACTTGCTCATAGCTCTCCATTAGTTTTATATTACTTACAAGTCATATTGTATGCCATTCCTATGTAATGTAATCCTAGTTTGATATCACGTGAATGCTAGTTAATGTTTATTAATTTTTATATGCATATGCAGCTGAAGACATAGAGACCGAATATGAATACGACGCCAGTGATAATGAAGAAGATAATGCAAAGAATGGTGGAGAGCCGAGGTAGCTGTTCTTCATAATTATCAAATTTATAATTAAAATAATAATGATGAATATAATAATATTTATATAAATAATAAAAATAAATACTGAACAAAATTATGTAATGGCAAACCTGTTAGGATATAATAATGATCTCTGCATCATTTTAACTTCATTTTTTGAATAGTCAGTTTCCTCCAAAATGTTTTTTTTTTCAATTTTTGAAGATAATTCTGTTTTTTTATTGTTGTAATAATAATACAGAGATTCGCAATTGTTAATGTAATTTGCTATGTATCACCAACAGTTCCGTGTTGCAGATGCCAGGCGAGTCGACACTGAGGAGAAACTTCTTACAAATCCAAGAAGGAGAAGGCAGAAAAACTCCCAACCCATACGCCATTCCACAATCAGGTCCCTCGTTCAGTCCCTTGTCCAGGGCTCAGCCAGCCCCCGCTCTCCACAATGCGAAGAAACCACAACAGCCACAACAACTACCGCAACAGTCGCAAGTTCAAATTCAACAGCTACAACCACCTCCTTCGAAACATCTACAGCAACCGCACCATCAAGCACCTTTCAACATGAACAACAAATACCAGCCTCACGTTCTTCAACAGAAACAACAGCAGCCGTCGCAGATACCGCAACTGCACCGGCAACAACAGTCTGCACCGTCACACGTTGGAATGGTTAGTTGGCTCTTTCATTTATCTTGTTATGAATGTTGCTGAGAATTATTTATAAATAATTGTTTTAATGATACCTGATATAAAAACAATTTTTGCTATTAAATTTGAATCATTTAAATGGTGCCATTTCTCAGAAAAATCATGGATTCTATTTTTATTTTAGCAAATGTTTTATAAATATATATATATATATATATATTTATATATATGTGTGTGTGTGTTTGTGTGTGTGTGTGTTTGTGTGTGTGTTATATATATATATATATATATATATATATATATATATATATATATATATATATATATATATGTTTTACATATATATATATATTATTGAAATGTCAAGTTAATTATGAAGTTTGTTTAATACCTTTCTACATAGAAGCAAGAAGCAAGCAATTTGAACTACCAGCCACATCAACCTCATCAAATGTTTGGCTTTCAAGAGGACAGGAATGAGTTACGAAGGTCTGGCCGGGAAGCTCACCACAGCAAGAACATCACATCCGACAACAAAATCATACCCAACAACAACATCAACAACAACAAAATAATAAACAACAACAACATTATAACACGCAGTAGCAACATACCAACACCCAGCGACAACAACAGTCGACTGTCGTCAGCCAATCACGTCTTTGGTATGAACGCTAGGCATGCAGTCAACTACCAACAACAGCTGCAACCGAAATCATCCAACCCGCCGTTTAAAAGTTAGCACTCGTCCATATGTTAACATGTTCTATTGAGTAACTTCTGCTAATTTTAATCTCGTTCTTTAATATTTTGTTGTTCTTTGTTTATGCAATTAATATAAAAAGTTTGTAATGCATATTGTTTGTTCATCGTTTCAGATGAGCAGACACCTTTGAACCCTGAACTCAACAACAACAAAGTTGCGAAATCGTTATCGTCATCAGGCCAGTTCAACAAGTCACAACAACAACAGACTCAGCAGCAACAACAACAGAATCCCATCTTAGCTGGTCGACCCACACTGACTAATCATGACATTTCCAAGATGGCTTCACCTCGCTACAGGTTTGTTGTCGCTGCGTGCTTTTTGTCGTTGTTACTGTATTTTGCTTGTCGTTGTTGCGACTACATGTTGCTTGCTGTTACTGTATATTGTTTGTTTTTGTATTGCATTTTTTTATGTTTAATTGCATATCGTTCTGCGTGATAATTTGTCCTCTCTTCATCTGGCAGATACTTTTGACAGGATGGATATTTTAGGGTATTTGTTGATTATTAATTGAACCATCGATAAAAATGTTGTTGAGTGTGCAAGATAACTGAAATGCAACCGTAGGAACAGTCAGATAGCCGCAGGTCCACAGCAGCAGCAGGTTGTACCACCTGCAGAAGTTCTCTACAAACCATCGCCTGCTCAGAACAAAGTCATTCGTTAGTATTTTTTCTACTTCGTTAAAATATTATGTTAGAATATCCATTAGTATGGAATTAATTCAAAGTGTTTCATTCAACTCAGAAATATCGAATCGTCAGTCTGCAGCTCCATTGATACAAAATTCCAAGGAAAGACATCCTGAGGTTGCTAGTGTAGTTCTCTATCCATGCTATCTTTTTTATATTGTTCTTTTTTGTTCATTCCTACCTTAACCCTACCTAGCCTGGCTGCCTCCAAATGAAATGCTTTTATATCAATTCTCTTGTTCTGTTTTTGTTGTATGATTATGTTGTCCTCAGTAGGTTGGTTGCACATTAAAGTATTTTTTCCATAACTTGCCTTCCGTAATGAGTACATTCAATTTTAATTTATTAGGAGCTTGACGCACTTGCAGCTCAACTTTCAAACCTCGGCAGTGGCATTTTCAAGTCAGTCCAACAGGACCAACCAAACAACAGTAAGAGCAACAACGCCGCAGCAAAGCAGCAGCAGGTTGCAGCAGAAGTCGTTGCTGATTTGGAGGAGGATGATGATGAAGATTCTGATGAAGAGTTGGCGCCTCTGCCAGATGGAACCTTGCTGGCGTCAGCACCTCCCAGACCTCTGTTGGTGTTTGTGTTGGTCTCACCGTGGAGATGATTATGACTGATGATGATGACGATGATGATGACGACGAAGATGATGATCATGACATAAGGAATATGCATTTTTTGTGGTTGATAAATTAATTAATTTCACACTGTAAATGTTCGTTTAGATTTTGCTTGGAGGCCTTAGGCTCTGATGATCCCACGTTACCCGTCACATACGCAAACAGTAAGTTGTCATCATTGTTGTCATTGTTATTAGTTGCTGTTTTTGTTATTCTTTTCGTTGTTCTTTTTTTTATTTTTGACATTCCTGGTGTTATTATTAAATAACAAGCTTGAATAAATAGAAGAGTTATTTTATTATCAATTATATTGCTCACTCAGTGCCTTCTGATGCAAAGAAAACTCAACTAACTAGATCAGCTACTTCAGAAGCTAGTGCTAAAGACAAAGTTTGTTGTGTCTTGTTCATCCGTTCATTCGTTTGTTCATTTGTTTATTCGGTTATTTATTCATTCATTTATTCATTCATTCATTCAGTTTTTCGTTCACTCATTCTTTTGCCTTTATGGACCATGTTTTTTAGGGTTTAAATATTCATAGAATGTGTTATCGTTTTAAATTACTTCAACTAATTATTATCAGAGGTACGTTGTCCTCTTTATATCTTTTCGTTTTTTTTCATTTTTTTCAAATAACAATTGGTGCTGGCAGATCAAAGAACGAACTCCTTCAGCTGAGAGATTGAACAACAACAACAACAACAGCAGCAGCTCGAACACTACCGACAACACAACCACAAAGACAACAAATTCCTCTGGTTCATCATCTTCGAACAGCGGCAAGTTCAGAGCAGATAATTCCAGCCTGCCTGATCTCATATCAAACAACAAACCAAAGCAGAAGAACAAAGATGCAACTTCCAACGATGCCAACACTGAGAAAAATAGTGATGATGATATAGTGAGACCTTTTTTCTCTGGTTCATTCATTCCCACCTACTCTACGCCTACATCAATACCTATTTAATAATAAGGCCAAGTTACTTTCCACTATTTATTTTTGCCAAGTTTTAGGCCGTTTTTGTTTTAGATGTTTATTTGTATTTGCATTGTAACTTTTGTAATGTCTAAAATTCAAAATTTTGATTTCAGCTGTTTAAGATTATAAAATTGTTGAGTCATTTAAACATGAATTATCATTTTTTTAAATGTAAATTATTGAGTTAACAGTCGTTGAAACGCTGAAACACGCACACACACACACTCACCACACACAAACAAACACACACACACACACTGTCCAGGTGACGTCACTGAATGATTATGCCCAGCAGCAGCAACCGCTCACAAAGAAACAAGGTTCATCACGTTCCTTTCTTTCGTTTGGTTTCGGGGCCAAAGAACAAACGCCCGATTCGCAGAGCAGAAAAAATTCGAAAATCAGCATAAATATTCTGCCCAATGGCAACAGCAGCAACGTAGTGGTGAGCAATAACGCGGGGACTCAAAATGGAAACTTCAATGAGAGCGGCGATTTCCTTGAGATGCCTGAGATCCGCAAGTACAAGAAGAAATTCAACACGGACATCAACTGTGCTGCTCTGTGGGGTATGTCTTCAAGTTTCTTACTTGTCAATTTCGATCATGTCGTCTTCATCATTACTTTAATTAGAAGTTATTGCTCAGGTTATTTATCTTGTTTATATTATATTTCGGTTCTACATTCGTCATGTTTATATTATATTGCGATTTAATTGTCTTCCTGTTCAAACATGGAAATCAGGCGTGAACTTGCTCATCGGCACCGAGAATGGGTTGATGTTCCTCGATAGAAGTGGACAAGGCGAAGGTTCTCTGCATTTTTCCATTTTTTCATCCATGTTGTCGTTTTTATAAGTTCATTTTGCACACAAATAAAACCCCCTAAATGAAAATAATTTAAACTACAAAACATGTACTTTAGAAAATACATAGATTAAAAGAAAGACTTTTTAATTCCTCCTCAATAAATACGAAACAAATAAATCCATACATGCAATTATTTGGTTGATGATATAACCAACACCAACTTGTTTAATATATCCAATCTTCTTTCAGTATACACGTTGATATCTCGACGTCGTTTCCAGCAAATTGATGTGTTGGAAGGTCAGAACTTGCTGGTCAGCATCTCCGGCAAGAGCAACAAAATTCGAATGTACTATCTCTCCTGGCTCAAGTCGAAAATTCTCAAAACAGATCCTGTTAGTGGCGGATGAAAATTATTTTTTTTTATTCATTTTTGTTTCTGCTGTCAAATTTCTTTTGATCATTTTATAATCTCTTTATAATAATTTGTGAGAAAATTGTAAAGATTATGAAATATTTCTTATACCTCATGTGTTTTTTATCATTTTAGTAATGAACTTACTCTGCTTTCAACCGAATTGGTTTTTCTTCTATAGGTTGTGTTTTATGTATTTAATTTTTGTTATTCACTAACTTTAATTTTAAATACGTATTTAAAATTCTCCAACAGAATGACAAGAAGGTGGGCTACACAAATCTCGCACATCTAGAGGGATGCACTCATTTTAAAATCAGTTAGATGATTATTAATTTCATCTGTAATGCAATCAGTTTATCATAATTTTGAATTTTTTCATCAATTTATCTGAAAACTCATCATCTCCATTCACAGTCAAATACGAGCGAATCAAGTTCTTAGTCGTTGGTCTTGCGGATTGCATAGAAATATTTGCATGGGCTCCTAAACCTTACCTCAAGTTTATGGCATTCAAGGTATTAGTTTCTCAACTTTTTTTCTTTATCACGTTTTATTTTTGAAACCTCGTTAAATCATGCCAATAGTTTATAGCAATTAACGAATGATTTGATGCATGCAGTCTTTCAGTGGCCTAACGTACAAACCTCTGCTGGTTGACCTCACGGTTGAAGAGAGTCAGCGTCTCAAAGTGGTCTACGGCTCGTGTCATGGCTTCCATGGCATCGACCTCGACACGTCCAGTATTTTCAACATTTTCATGCCCATGGTTAGTTCGCCCTCTATCGATTTTTTGGTTTTGTTTTTGACTTTTTTGTTTGATTTTTCAGTGAGGTTACTGAAATCACAGAATGCGCCTAACAGAATGCAATTATTATCATTACAAACCTCTGAGTCTTTGTCATATTAAAATTGTATAAGTTGTGCGCGATAAACAACAAAGTAAATTATTTTGAAATCAAGTTTATGATGTTGTTTTCTGTTAATCTTTTGTTTCAATTTAATTTGCTCATCTGCCTTTTGTTGATTTTTATTCGAGATTATTTTCTTTCACTTTCTAGTTTCCGCGAATTTAATAACAAAATAGAAATAATAATTAAAAAAATTATTGATTAATAATAAATAATAATTTCACTAATAAATTGAAATAAAGTCCCAACCATAAAGAGCAAATGTAAATAATTTTGCAGACGACACACACCATAGTACCTCACGCCATCATCGTCATACCTGGCTCCAATGGCATGTCACTGCTCCTTTGTTATGACAGTCTGTATTTGTTATTGCTATTATTATTATTCTAGTGTTTTTGTGATTCAATTTCATTGCGTATTAATTATTTTTTTCAATTTAAATACTCTATTAATATTTTTATATTGATGTCGTTATATTTCCTAAGTTATGTTCGTGATTAACAATTTGTTGATCAGATGATGGTGTTTATGTTGATACGTATGGCAAAGTGGAGAAGAACTCTGTGCTGCAGTGGGGTGAACTGCCTAGTAGTGTTGGTCAGTGTCTGTCTGTTTGTTTTTTTTTATTTTATTGTTTGCTTGTTTGTTTGCTTGCTTGCTTGTTTGGTTACTCTTTATTTTGTTTATTTGCTGGTCGTATGTAATTTTTTGTCTTTTTTTTCTTCAAATTGAAACACTGCATGATATTGCATTGGATTTAGTATTGGCAACTGTGTAAATAATGAAGGTATGAAAAATAAACTTGACTGACTGAGATTAACTTTCATTTAATTAAACATTCTCAAATGATTGACATGAAACTCTTATAAAATGGCCAGCTTACATAGGAACCAATCAGATCATGGGCTGGGGACAGAAGGCCATCGAGATCAGAACACTGGACAGTGGCACTCTCGATGGTGTCTTCATGCACAAGAAGTCACAGAAACTCAAGTTCCTCTGCGAGAGAAATGATAAGGTTTCTTTTTATGTTTTTTAGTTTCCTTTCATTGCTGTCCGTCTCTTTTCATTTATTTCATTCGTTTTGTTTAAGCACATTTTTATTTTAGGTAACTCATTAACAACACATTTGCTCCTACATAATTCGTTGTCCCATAATTTCACTACGATTTCCTCACATTTCACTAGTCTCTTAATGTAACTACAATTAATGTGAACAATCTACTTGCACACTTCATTGGTCATTCACATGATCGGTTTGTGCTCATTCATTCGCAATTTACTCACTCACTCGTTCACTCTTTTATTAATTAACACAATCATCTACTCACCTACTCACATGGCAATCATTCATTGACCTCTCAGGTGTTCTTCTCTTCAGTGCGTAGTGGTTCGGCCTCTCAGATTTATTTCATGACTCTCAACAGACCTGCCGTCTCAGCTAACTGGTGATCCTGTTGTTTAATTCCAGTTGGCAAACTTTTATGCAAACGTGTTGAACTGAGAGGGGATGCATGACGTAACTGATGACGTAATTAATGACGCCGATTGCATGACATACCATGACGCTACATGACGCACGCTTTAGAGATTGCTAGTATTTGTTGTTTGTGTGTAAATTTGGTGATGATTTCACGCTACTTTTCTTTTAAAATTTTACATTAGCTCTAAAAATATGACACCTGATTTTTATATTCATCATATTTCCATGATGATAATGTTCATTATAGATAATGGAAATGATTAGAACGATAGAAGCTGCTAAGATGATGATTCAAAAATAAGTTGTTTTTTTTTTATTTTGATAAAGTAAAGTAAATTCTTTTGGATTTAATATATTTTGATGGGATAAATAATAAAAATATATAAATAAAAATATGATAAATGATAAAAGCTGCGGCCTTTGCATGTTTCGATTTCTATTGAAGGGACGATGACTGCTTTCGTCATGTAACATGTAAAACTCAACAATGTAAAACGGTTTAACATAAAGTTCATTTTTTATCGTTTGTATCAACCTTCATTTGGGTTTTATTGGAAACTTTAACATCGATACGTATAAATAACTGATACATGGGTATATGACAGATATTTTATTAACTTTTATTTAAAAAAAAATTTTTACAATTTTGATTCGCCACGTTAGTCGAATTAATAATAGAAGATTAATACAATCGTGATGGTGATGATGACGACGACGATGATGATAACATTAATAACGATGATTAGATAACAGTGATGGTGATAATTATTATGATAACTAATATACGCAAATACGTAAAGAATCTAGTATTTAATTTTTTTCAAGCCTTTTTTGAGAAATAAAGTTCGTATCAAAGCATTGCAATACGTTAAAAAATGTCATCTGAATATATGAAATATTTTTTTATATGTTTTTAATATCATTGCACTTATCTATAATAAATTATTCTGTGATACAACCAAAGTTTTTAATGTTAAAGTTTGTCTCTTGATAGTTAATGTATGATCAGTTGATCAATTAAATAATTAATTAATAAATTAGTTGACTAGATTATTTTATTATTCGTATTCTTCTTATTATTATTATTTATCGTTTTTATCGTTAGAAGATATTTTTAATAGATATTGTGTGGGTAAAGGATGTCTTATATAGACACATTAAAATAATGGGATTTGGTTAAGTTAAGATTATATGAATTTTTATTTTCAACTTTCTAAGTTCGCATAGTACATTAGCGATAAAATAACTCTATCATATTTTAATATTTTTAATAATAATAATCTTCTATTATATTTTATAATTTGCATTTAGATCAATATTTTTGTGTCAATATATTTATTAACGGGCCTATCACGAGACAAAAAGAAAGAAATTAAACCATGCCAAATTTGTTTACTAAGCACTACACATCATGTTTGTAACTCAGGTGTTTTTTTTATAGCTCAAAATAATTCTATAATTGCATGTTTGTGTGTGTGTATGTGTGTGTGAATGCGTGCGTTTGTGTGTGTGTGTGTGTGAGTGCGTGTGTGTTTGTTTGTTTATGTGTGTATGTTATATAGATATATAACATATATATAGTCTTTTACAGAATGTCTTAAACTTTAGCTGAAGATTATTTTTTACGAATTTAGCATGCAATGAATATTTGGATATTTTCTGTTAATTAACTTTCTTCCTAATACGCTAGCCACTGTTTCATTTTAAAGATATATTGTATTTATATAATTTTAGATAGGTAGAAACGGCAATAAATGAAAGCGTCTTCATAGATTCAGTAGATCAATTTTTAAAGTCTTTTTTTATTCATAGGTACATATTAACTTTTAATGTAACTGTACAACAATACATCACGCTCGTAATGGTTTGTAGTAATTTTATGTTTTTATTATAAGACCACCATTTTTAATTTTTTAATAAATATTTATATTTATGTGTATATATATATATAATATATATATATATGTGTGTTTGTATTTATATAAACTCAAGTGCAATTGTTTGCAAACATATTTTGAGGTAACATGATGATTGTTTATTATATGTATGCCTTCATCTTTTTCATAACACCATGTCTATCTGTCCGTTTTTTCGATCTAATAAATTTATTTTTAGCTTCTTTTTTCATTTCAAACGTCTGCGTGTTTATTCTGTGTGTGTGTGTGTGTGTGTGTGTGTGTGTGTGTGTGTGTGTGTGTGTGTGTGTGTGTTTAGAATGAGAATCATCCATATGACATTGCAACTGAATATCGTACTTTCTAAAAGTTACAAGTTATGATGATGCCCATTTTGATGCTGGCCTCTTTTATTTCAACAGCCACCCTTCTTAAATTCCATTTCATTGATTGAATGTTGATGTTCTTGGTAGCTTTTTAGGATGTACTCATCGCTGGAAGTGGCGATAGCTTTGGTAGATGTTTCAAGTTGTATGTCCGTAGATGGCAGACTGATATGGATAAAAAAATATTACAATGTATATAAAGTTTTTTAATTAAATTACGTCTAATGAATAATTTATTTTTACTTGTAAAATACTTTTGCTATAGCAGTTATATATATATGTATGTATGTAGTATGTATGTAGGTATTTCTGGTTTATTTAGAAGATATAATTTAATGTGCTGTGACTACTTCTGTGCTTTGTTCACGTGCACTGTACATAACTAAACTCTCTCTTTCTTTATCGTGTTTCTACTGTCTCAGTCATTATTCGTCATTTAAATGAACATTAACATTTTATTTTTTTTAATAATAATAATACATTTTTAAAGGGATCTTTTGTTTTTCGTTTGAAAAAGTAAATAAAATTAAAAAAAATTTATTAGATTACAAATAAAGTCGCAGGATAAAAATGTTACAGTAACTGATAAAAAGAAAGAAATACAATTTAATGGTAATATGAACAATAAATATTTTAAATATTTATTAGGGTTTTGGCATTAACTCCTGCTACAAGTAGGTTGGGTTTTGTAAAGTAGTGCTAACATTCTGAACAGTGTAGAAACAGTATATTGAGGATTTATCTATCATTCCTAATATGTTTACCAGAAACTTATCTGCAAGTGATTAGAAACTCTACAAATATTTATCTTTCTATTATTTTTAGACTTGTAGTCTAGAGTAGATTATTTATCATGTAATTAGTTAAACGTTAACTCGTTATCGGTGACATCCTCTATTCAGCTTGTGTTTACATCGTATGGAGATAAATAGCGAAAATATTAATTGTTGAAATTGCGAAAACGGCAAAATATCTTTCAATGTATGTCAACAGAAATTTGTTTATTCTTTGTATATTGTATATATTGTATACTTTGTATATTGTAAAAACTTTGTATATTCACTTGTGCTACTTACTTACTACTGCTCATGGCCTAACGACTTGAAAATTTATGTTTGATTTTTACTAATAGAGCCATGTTGCTTTTGCAACGACGAAGATGAATCAACAAAAGTGTAACAAACATACTGAATACTTTTCTCAAAGTTTTAAAACAGTGAGAATTTAAAATTAATTGGTATTTTCATTCAACGCCTTTTTAGCTTTTTTAATGTAGAATTGTTAAATTTTTCCTCTTGTAAATTTGTGCAGTTCATGATTTGTTAATCAGTTGCCTCATTTTCTTCTACAGCCAATCAAAATTAACTTCTTTAAAGATTTTTATAGAGAATCGTTATCTATGTAAAAATGTAGTTTGAACATAGTGAAAATATTGAAATAATTCTGTACAAAGAATAAAAAATTAAAATTATGTGCGTCCTAATTCGTTCAGGAAAGTTTACACAAAACAAAACGACGACGTAATAAAGAGGAAAAAACCCAGGATGAAAATATTTTTTATTATTATTATCCTAAACTTTGTATCATTAGTTAGGACAGTGCTGTTTCAAAAAAATATTCTCGATAGTTAGTAATTGTAATCAAGTTTGTAACTCTTTTTTTCATCACTCTCACAGATTACACGTGAGTTAATCACGCATCACTTAAGATCTATCGGAACAAACCTATTTGAGCCTCTAGTCTAGTTTAGAAAATTTACTCGTAAAATATTTTCATGCGTTATGGGTAGGAAAACTTAAAGTTACGTAGTAAGAGTGTATGTGGATGTTATCGGAGAAATATTTTTGAAATTAAATGTTATCAAAAGGCGCCATCGGAGATGGGATTTTTTTAGATCCATGTCATTTAGAAGTTATACCTTTTTTTTACATAAATGATGCAGTGATAGTTATCGTCATCGTTATTAAATGATGACTTTTTTAACGGTTGTTCGATTTGAACTGTTTTACTCAATCTAACAAAACTATTCTTAAATAAAATTATTTAGATTTACATTTTAGTGACGTAGCTGATAACAATTCTACTAACGATACGGTGGTTGGAACGACGACGACGACGACGACGACGACGACGACGACAACAACACCTGAAATGGAAAAAACAAGAAATATTGAATGTTCTCATTTCATAGATAAGTCAGATAATTTTCCGGTAAATTGCGGTAACCACAAAGCTGGTTCCGTACCAAACCCAAACCAAGATCAAATTCCCATGTTCGAGAATTCAACGGTCGTAGAGTACAGTTGCGATAGTTTAGATGGCAGTATTTTTTATAAAATACACGCTATTCCGATACGTTAGAATTTTTTGCTATTAATATTAATATTATTTATTACTATTATATTATTTTATTGTTTCATAATTAAACATCAGTGTTCAAATTTATTAATTAAACTCTTTTATTTAAAAATGTTTGTTTAAAAGTTCATCAAATAAAACATTTATTAATTGCACTGTTTATTGGCTGGAACCCAGCAGTAATGAGATCTCCAGTTTGTTCTGTAACAGAATATTATGACGAAAACATCGCTCAGTTCGTTTGCATGGTGAAGTATCCAAATTATCAGAGTTACACCGTCGCTATGCAAATGGACGAACAGACCTTTCTGTGCAAGGGAAAAAAAGATGATAACCTACAAAGCACATCCGTGTGTATTCCTATACAGTATACAGTTCTCTTTGTGTTTGTGTGTGTGTGCCAAAATGAAATTTTTTATTTAAAATGTGTTGTTTTTTGATTGATTAACATTTATATATTATTTAATTTACTTAATAAAAAAACTTTATATGTTTTAGACGTTCAAATTCAACAAGACATTTTATTTCATTGAAAGTAAGCTGACTATCAAATATAAGTATCAATTGTACCAACATGGTTGTTCTGGAACAGAGATGAAAAACTGCAAACTGGAATATAAAGAATACACTCACCCAGTAACAAGTATAATTTGCTACCTTTAATAAATTATGCAACTTAGTATGATAGTTTTTGGTGTATAATTTGGGCATATTAAATTTATAATAATTAATACAAAAACATTGAACATCAAGCTAAATTATAATTATCGATGAATTTTTGAACAAAGCATTGTCTTCATGTGATTATTTGTGCTTATAAAGTATCCGGATATAACAGGACTAGTTTGAAAACTTATTTTCAGATTTGAAGCCACCGGAGCCAGAAATTGTTGGCGAACTTAAACGAAAATTGTGCGACGAGGTGGAATGCAAATCCAAAATAAACAACACAGAAACTGTTCAATTTGATTTCATGTCCGATCTAGCTCACGAGAAATGTGGAAGCAGGAATTTTTTAATATTGAGAGAGAGGGGACGAAACGCTTTGACTTGCACCACTACAATTCAAATTAGTGAGTTTTGTGTTTGTTTCAGATAACTTTCAACAAACATTTATGAGATTTAAAATTGGCAGTCCTGTCTGACATGTTTAAAACCATTGCTGTAGAGAATGATACTTGTTTTTTACTAGATTCAAAATCGTACAGCAACACTAGTCAAAAGAATGTGGACGTTGATGTGGATGTGAAAGGTTTTTTTTATCCTACATCCTACAATCCGGATTTTTTAGTTCAGGATTTTATTTTATTTAGGTGACGCTCTGTCCAACTGTCCCCCATGCGCAGGTTAGTCCATTTTTGAAAGTCTTACGCACGCTTGTGCTTCTTTCATCATTAGTTACGGTTCAACGTTATTGGAAACTTTTTAAAATTAAGTTTAGAACTTTCAGCAGAAAATAATTAAATGTAATTGAAAATAGTTGATAATAATTAAATATTAATAAAATTGATGCGAACAAAACATGAATGTGGCTAACTACAACTTTTTGGTTGCATTATTTTACAAACAATTGAAACTACACAGATAAGAAGAAAACGCATGCTGTCGAATCCAATCTCGTCCCAGTAGATACCGTGGTCAATACGGTCTTTGGGATTGTCGGAGTTTTGTTCACTACGATGATTCTCTGTGGCCTCATGATGTCCGCTCGCAACAAGATGCGGACAAGTAAATGTTTCTTTAAATGCTTCTTTTTACATTTTATATCATTAAATCGTTCTTCCACGATCTCACGATAGGAAATATTCGTCTCTTCATTCTATTTTACTTTGTTTTCTTCATCGATACATTTAATAACAAACTAATTTAATTGCCTATTCGTTGAAAAATATAAACATCATTTTACAAACGACTTTTTAAATTAATTAATTTAACTTTTCCAAGGCTTAGCTGACGAGTCGGAAACTGTTCAAGATATAATTTCTCAAACATCCGGACAATAAGCAAAGCAAAATTATGAAAATACTTTAGAATTACAGATTAAACCTTAACAAAATTTTTCAAAATAACCTTTAAAAAATATAAAATCAAAATAGTAAATTTAATTGTCGGTTTTATATTTATGGAAAATGCAATCGAATAAGTTTTATTTTAGGAGTGCTCCGTGAAATCCACCCATTGCTGGTTGGTTGGCGATATTTGCGAGTTTTAAATCTGGACAAGTTTGATTTCATGCTTTCAACTTTTTTGTCATCGGCCTAAAAAAAATTAACAGTTTTCTGTAATGAATATCTTACACAGTAAGTATTTCAACCATCATTTGTGTAAAATATCAATACTAGTCTTCACTGAAAACTGCGTTAATATAAAATATGTATATTGACACATTTCGTTAAAACGTTTGGAATAAAACAGACACAAATCAAGCCGCATTGTCTTTAAAAATAATCACAATTTATTTAACATGCCGTTTTTGACGAACATTAACACATTCAAATAAACAATATTTAGTTATTTTTAAACACTTAACTGTAAGCTTTTAAAGAAACACAACATAAAACAACAACTCGTATGTAGGATAGTCTGTATACAGTGTTTATTTTGCAAACCTGCACGCACACCTATGTAAATATATAACAACAAAATCACACTTCTACAATTCCTAAAGTTTTTGTAACATATAACTTATCTATTTATGAATACACGTACATAAAGTTTTATGTGGTAACAGTCAAAAATAATTATAAAAATAGATTAGAAATATATATATATATATGTATATATATTTATATATAAATAAATAGTTACAAAAGGTGTATAGTTCAAGACACATTAACGTTATAACGACATTTTGTTTCGTCAAAAATAACAAAAAACATACGAAAATAACGGTAGACGCATTAATATATTGATACAAAATAAGAAGAAAAAAAAGTTAATAAATTTGTAAACCATACAAATTATTTTTCTTCATTTTAAAAAAATTGTTCTTTTTAATTTTTGGTTAGATTGGACAATGGACATTACCAAGTAACTTGGTGTATAAGTTTCATAACAAAATATATTGAAAAAGATTTATGAAAATAAGTAAACTTAGTAAATAGATCGAACTTGTTCCTATATATTATACTTCTTAACTATGTGGTATATTTTACATTTCTTAATGAAAATAACTCGAAAGCGAAGCATTAACATACAAAAAACTTATTCATTCGTAGACCATATAATTTTCAATATATGATTGTAAAAAAAATAAGACTATAAGACTGCATAAATATTATAAACCCCAGCTATCGGCAAACTAAAGATTTGACGTTTGAAAAGTCAAATCTCATGATAAAATATCACTCATTAAAAAATTAATATTTCGGTTCAGCTGAATGAGACAATAGCCTTTTTTACTTTAAAAGATATCAATTTGTAGTTTTTTTTATTAATTTTTTTTGAAAGTTGACTTTTTTGCTAATTCAATCCGAAGTGTTACGCTCACATCAAGTTTTTAACAAACAAAAAAAGTTAAGTTTGTTTGAATATTTTCACTATTAAACAATTTTAAAAGTTTCTCCGAGTCACCTATAAACCTGGAACAAATTTGTAATGTTACTCTAAGAATTACAGGATGTTAGAAATTTAATAATGAATTAAAATAATACTGATGTTTTACGATCTTAAAAATAATTTAGCGTTGGGATAATAAAGTCTACAGATCCTTTTAAAATTATTGAAATTAAAAAAAAATGAAGCCTAATCAAATACATAGTCTTAATAAAAAAAAACTTGAAAGTCCATAATAAACGAAATAAAAGAGCAGATTTAGGTGGTGTAGAAATTAAAAAGAATTGAAATGACATACAATGTCTGCTAGCATAATATTTTCAACAAAATCGCAAGTCATTTTGGACAATTCGGTTGTTTAAAGATTTTTTTACCTACCTAGTCAGAAACACTGAAACTTTTGAAATAAATTACTGGAAAAACTTATATCATTTACATTATCGTCGTCCGTTACAGAAAACATTTTTAGTAATAATATTAAAAAAATATATAAAAATTTAATCTTGAAATCAATAATAGTGTTAACTTATCGTTCATGAGTTAGATGTGTCAGAAACATTTACTTGAATGTCATTTTCAGGAAATGACGTTAAAACTTATCAAAACTTAATTTACAATAATGTCCACCGCGTTTTACAACACAAATCATTAACAGATACATCAATATGGACAATTCATTTGAGAACAATTTGAAATAAATAAACAGCCAAATTAGTAAATTTACAATTTTCCTGTTAGGTATTATTTGGTTTTCTTTTTTTTCTTTTTCGTTTTGTCTGTCTTTCGTTGACATCAAACGGTCTGAGACAAAACAGCTGCAGTGCAAGACGATCAAAAATAGTGTTTTTAAATGTAAATATCATGCCTTAATTTGCTTATTATACTGAATAAATGCATGTCTAACCTTGATGGCATAAAATAATGTATTTTTAAATGTTGTATCATCATATCTTGATTTTTTATTATACATTTGAAAGAATAATGTTAAAGATATATTTACTAATAGTATTAATATATGGCAACAGAATATATATTCATTGAGTTGTTGTTGAGCAAAACATCACAGCGTAAGAAATCTTATTTCTAGGTATCAAACATTTACTATTTGGGTTAGAAGATCTTTGCGGTTTGACTAACTCAGTCACGTGCGTTTCATTCGAAATGAGCTTTTCCAAAACTATTTTCATAAATGCCAAGTGCAATATCAAAAACATATTTTCGTATATTTTAAATTGTAGAGAAAATACTTAATTATATGAAACAAAAGAAAGAAACAAACTTTATCAGAAGATAACAAATCGAAGTCATCAGGCGGATTAGTGATGACGTATCGCTTTGCAGATGGAGTGTTTATAATGGAACTGTTGGAATCGCGAAACCGATACAACCCGATGCACAGAATACCAAAATTTCTCAGCGCGTATGCAAACAGTTCGCCGTACTTCCTCTCCTCCTGTGGTAATGAAAAATTAACTGGTTAGAAAATCACTTTGAAAATTTTATAAAACTGCTTAAGGTTTGACATTCCATCCAAAGTCTGCTTGAATAAACGCTGATTTTGACATTTTTAAAGTTCCCCAAATTTTTTAAAAATTATAAAAGACAAACATCTCTGTATTGAAGAAAAGTGAATAATCATTTTACAAAAAAAACTTTAAACTATTGAATCTATTGACACAAATAAATGAAGAAAAACAAATTTTTCGTTTCAAAACCAAACCGATTTGTTAAAAAAACAAATGAATTAATAAATAATTAACCCCGAATTCGCTGAATGGTCCGCTGTAGAGAGCAATTTGAGCAACGCGACATCTGTTTCGATAAGCCAAACTTTTTGCTGTTGAATATCCACCTCTCATACCCACGCCTTCAGCCAGTATCTGCTCCAACTCTGGCGTCGCTCCGCCAGTTATCAGTGTTCTAATCAGGGTCAGCGCGTTGTCGTTGAAGTAGGTCTGGTAGAAAGAAAGTTTGCATTGTTTTATAATTTCAGTAAAAAATGGCATTTGATTTTGCATTTTTGTAAAATACTTTTTTATTTAGGGGCCGAAAACAAAGTCATACAAGCATCAATTCAATTGATAAAATAAATTTATTTAGAGAAAAGATTTCAAACTAACGGTACTCATGAGAGAGTCCAGGACACTGACAGCGAAAGCAGTACCACAAGCGAAAGGTTGGGTCATGTAGAGTTCAGTGTCTGGGTCGTCGTCGTCGTCTTGATCGAGGAACTGTACGTTTGCATCGTTGCCTAATTTGAGGTTGCGTTTCAAGTCATATTTTATGTCTTCATTTGTAAACGCCACTTAATGTTTAATTTCTCAACACGGCACTGGCGGATTAGAGTCAATTCGGAAATATACATTATATATACGACCGATAAAAAAAAAATGAAAATTAAATTGAAACGTTTCGTGCCATTTTTGAATAAAGCATACTAACCCAGCTCTGTAATCATTGGAATGTCATTGCCCGACGACACTCCATTCTTCGGTGGTCTCGATGATGATGCCTTCGTGATGGTCGGTGATGATAACGATGGCAGAAAAGCTGCTTCGTGTTGAACATTGATAAATTTTGAAGCTTATTTTAATTTTATTTACATTTAATATTAGTAACATAATTGAATATTTTAATATTCCCTAATCGTCAAGCTGTACAGACAATCAAAATTACATCAAAAAAATTATTTGACAACAGCTATAGATAAAAATTAGCAAACAAAAATTAAACTAAACCGACAACCCACGCGCAACAAAACAAAAAAGGAACGAACCGGGACCAGACTGATTGTAGGCATGCAGCCATCCAATGGAGTCGTCGAAGGACATGGCTTTGATGTTGAGAGAGCAGAGTATGGCTTCCTTGTCGACCAGGTTACTGTCCTCTCCCGTGGCATTCCTGGCTGACAGGATGACGCACATGTCGCACATGTTGATGTGCACTGCCCTCAAGTTGGCTCTGTTCAGAGGCGAACCCTAAGATTATAAATAACACTGTTTTAATAATTTTTATTTTCTCGAGTTCATCACTTAAAATTGTTTATTTTTACAAAAAAAAATGAGTTTTTTTTTATCTTATCTATTTTTGAAGTGTCTTATATTATATTTTAGTTTTTTTTTTGTTAAAAACATTTTATAAATTTTTAATAATAATAATTATTCAGAAATGTAAATTTCCTAATAAACAATGCCAACAAATTAATATGATAAGCTACTGATTTAAAATTGTTCAAACAATGGATGAACATAATGACAGTTAAATTGTCCGTGGAGACCGACCCCAAGAATGCTGATGAACGGAAAGTTACTGATGCTCTTCCACTCTTTCTTTATGTACTCACGATCTCCAACGATGACGACGTGTTTCAACTCGCTGACGTCGAAGTTGCTGGCTCTCAGGGGCATGATCAAGTTTCGCAGTCCTATGACGGCAGAGTGGGCGTCAGCAAACAAGCAGACGACCACGTGATTACTCAAAACTGTCATGGCCGCTTGCTCACGTGTCTGAAACAAGTTTACAAAAGATGAAATTATTGCAAGCCAAACATAAACGATAAAATGATAAAAATTTGAAAGTTAAATTGAAATAAAAGAAAAAGTCGCTTAGTTAAATTGACTAAATAGAAATTAATTTTAAACTTGACGCAAAGAAATAAAAATTTAAGTAATAAAAATATAAAAACGGAGCTGACGATGATGCAGGAAGACATGGACTGTGCGGGTATCCAGTGAAACATTCCAGTGGAATCGAATCTTCTAGGATCCGCAGCTTGTTCGTAAAATAGACGATCGTATTTGGATTGCGGGTGATGGTGCTGCAGCGATTGCGTCTGCAGCTGGTGGGCCGATTCGTGCATGAAATGGTGATCCTTCGTCGCTATCTCTAGAGATATCGATAAGAAGCTGTCGCGACGCACTGATGAATATCTTGAACATAAATTTAGTGGCAGAAAATTTAACAATTATATCTTTTAAAAAAATTATTTGAATTGTTGAAGTTAAAAATTCGTGACTATAAAAACAAAAAATTCATTTTGAAAAATTTTCGTTTCTTGGAGAAACAATTCATCACAAACTTTCTCACCTTTTCATCGGGCTATCTTGGAATAAATCATTCAAATTTTGGCTGGCAACAAAACTCGAACTGCAGACGTGATAAAAGGTGTATTAGGAATTAAAGTTAACTTGAAATATAAAATAAAATTAATGTTTACTTAATTAATAATTTTATATTAATTATCAAAATCTTAATGTAACTTGAGAAGGACAAAAATGTAATATGGGCAACGTTGAAAATCAAACTTGGATGGGGAAATAGTTTTAATGTTCGGGATTGTCTTGTGGTAGGTTAGGGGTGTGCAACTTTTGCCATCAACGTTTAAGAACGGTATCTTAGCTGCAAAAGTATTTAAAATCATGATACACTGATTGCTCTGTTTAGACATTGTTTAATATACCGAAGTGCTTCAACTTTGTTTCCAGTGGGCAATTACAACATTTCAAAAAATAGTTTTCAATGAAGATACGTAACAAACTTATATTTGAATAATAATTAAGATTGCAAACTTATTTACCGGTTTTATATCAAATTAAATTTTTACAAGCTAATGTAGCATTTTGTTTTATAACCAAAAATCGTTCACCGATATCTAGAAAAGACTTTTTCTCGTAAATTCTTGTGAAGAATCCCTTCTTGCCGGACCCTGATTTATATAAATTCAAAAATATCAACTGATTATGTGAACCAAATGCGTTCTGCCGCTATTCAACATCATTCATACAGTAAGAATTATTTGTGGAATTATTTTATGAATCCAAAATGTGACTTTTATTCTGATGAACTTATTAGAGAATTATTTCATAAAATTTGCTAGACGTAATAGGTATTTCCACACCAGAGCAACCCTCGCTAAGTCAAAGTCGCAAACTTGACATTCAACAAAAAAGATATATAAACTGTTGTCAATAACCATGAAATGACAATAAAAACCTAGTAATAATTTTAATAATATGGTAATGTTTAACAATGTCCTTGGAATGTAGTCAGAATATAAACGGCATAAACAACGCAAACACACATCGTCAGCAATGTCAACGATAATAAAATCGTTCAACGTTAATAACGTCAGCTTCTTACTACTACCAATACTGCAGCTACAGCAGCTGAGGCTACTACTGCTACTGCTGCTGCTCCAACAATTTGTAAGCACTACATATCGAAGTTATTTTTGCAGTTTTCGATGTTCATAAATTGCAACTTGCACATTTTTGTATGTTCACGAAAGACACAACTTTAGTGTAACAAGCAAGCAAGCAAGCAACTTTCGACAACCGTCTAAAATAAAGCACCAATAAAACATGCAATCAACACGCCATCACCAACACCATCGACAGTTTTGTTAGAACTGTGACAATTCTAACAAAACAATTGTCACAACTAACTGTATCTGTGGCATCTTCCGTATAATTCATCATCGTCCTCACCAGTGACATCATCATCGTCAAACACATCACCAACAACATCACCAACAACAACATTACCAACAACAACATCATCTCCAACAACAACATCATCTCCAACAACAACATCACCACCAACAACAACATCACCAACAACAACAGCACCAACAACAACTTCATCCCCAACAACAACATCATCAACAACAACATCACCAACAACAACATCATCACCGTCATCGTCGTCGTCATCATCTTCCACTCACCTCCAGCCTTGCACCTACACTTCTTGATGAGTTTTATGTCAGAAATTCCAATGTGACACGACTTGCAGTAGAACAATGCCCTAAACGTCGGAAGTATACATTACTATTTATTATTATTGTTTTATTGTTAATATTATTATTGTTATCATTATTATTGTTTTATTTTATAATTTAATAATGTTATTATTTTTATTATTTCACAAATATTATTATCAATAGTACCATTGTTATTTGTTTCATTTCGTAGGTATAAAATTACACCCACGCTGTTGTGCGATGAAAAATGATTGAAACAACAACTTGGGATATAAAAATATTTTCATCCGATCGAATCAACACAACTTTGATATATTGGCAGCATGAAATTAAAATTTTACGACCGTTTTGTAAAAATGTTCGTCTTACGCCTTACGTTCACTTCACACACACTCACTAATAAAATCAAGTTGAATAGATAATTTCTATCAAATCAAGTTGAATAGATAATTTCTATCAAATCAAGTTGAATAGATAAGTTCTAAAAGCGGCATCTAATTAACACGCGCAACAACATCCAACAGCAGAAGCAGGCGGCAATGAATATCGAAAAACTTCCACAAGAGCAATCTAATAGCCAAAAAACGGCGACAAAAACACTGAAACGAGAAATTTATGTGGAAAACCTTTTGACATCGTCTGCCGACTCGGCGAAAAAGAAGCCTTGAGTGTTGTGATCGATTCTGACATTTGGGCCTGGATTGATGCAGATGTTGCTGTCATGTGAGTCGTTGTTTCCACGTGATTCAACCGCTATCAATAGAAGCTTCAGCTTAAGGAAGCATAATCTAAACACATGTGTGTGTGTGTGTGTGTGTTTGTATGTGTGTGTGTGTGTTCATGTGGGTGCGTGTGTGAGAGAGAGAATGTGTGTGTGAACGGTAAAGGCTAGCGATAAAATTAAGCACGTAGGCTTGAGTTTGTGATTTGTAGACTTACTTTTTAAATAATATAGTTTCAAAATTACTTTTCTTAAAAAATTAAAATCAGAAATTAATTTATAAAAAAAAAGTAATCTAACTGACTCGGCAGCTTCTGGAAAGGTCATACCGTGCATGGCTGGCGACATGTACTCCGTGTACATCTCCATCCCTGTGCCACGCATGTAATCATTCTGCCATTGCGGCATGTCTGGAGACTAGTTGGAAGATTTTGATGGAAGATGATGAAGATGGTGAGGGGGGGATGAATAAGATGATGACGATCGTGACTATGATAAGATGATGATGACAAGGATGATGATGATGATGAGTAATATGATGAGTAATATGATCACATGACTATGATGATGGGTGTGATGAGCACAAACTGGCTGGCCTATCTGAAAAAGTCAACTTCTTTCAAGTATAAATGCTTCAATGAGATGATTTTGGCTTATATAATGTAATGAAAGTTCCCATTAAGTTGTGTTAAATCATGTCCTTATTTTAAAAATAAAAAATTCATGTCTTTATTTAAAAAATAATATTTAATGATAATTTTAAATTCAATATCTGAAAATATTAAAATTAAACTATCAATATTTCAATAAATTCTAAAATATCGAAGCAAAAAAACTATCTACTAGACAAAGCAGGTGATGGCTTAATTTTTACAAAAAATGAAAAGTAATAAAAGCTTTTAGTTTCTCGTTGCATTGTCATTATTGGCTGCGTTACCCCAAGTTGAAAATAAAATTTTATAACTTCTCATGTCTTAATTTGTTTCGGTCAATTACCCCTAGATAAATAGCTAATTAATTAATTATTTATTTATGCATCTGTTCGATCTTTCTTCATTCATACATACAATCATTTATCCGTTCGTTTGTTCATCATAACAAATTCATTCGTTCGTTCGTTCGTTCGTTCGTTCATGCATCAATTCATTAATTTATTTTATAGTTTTTATATTTGTTTGCTTATTTTTACGTTTAATTATTCATTCATTAATTATCTATTCCATTTTTTGATAGTTTCATCATATCTGGACTTGGTTATCAGTTTTAATGAGGGTTAGAGTTGTGTTCACGTTAAACAAAATATATCGTGCAATGAAAAAAGCTGAAATAGTTTGATCTGATATATCATATATTTTGATAGATTTTTTTTATTAATAAGAGAAATAATCACAAATATTATCGAGACAAGTTAGACATATTATCACTTCTAACGAAGACAAAGCAAGACGAAAGCGTTAATTAAACATTGATGAATGATATTGAAGCACTGAATGGCTGGTTGGTTGCCAACTGTTTTTTTAATGATTACTCTAGAAAGCACGTGAGGCTACGATTCATATAATATCTACACGAGACATGCACTTCTGATTATTAACTAATTATTTTTATTTTCAACCATAGTAGTATTTTATAAATCGAGTGAACAATTTCTAAATAGCACATTTATTTCGAACTAATGTTCTTACCACTTTATCCTGGCAAAAAAAATAAAATCATTTATGCAAATAAATGAAAATAGAATAAAAATGTTTATTTTTATCCGAAACATTATTTTTTATAACAAACAGCATGCCGATAACTTCAACTTGCAAAATGTCAAGCCTCAAGATGGGTGGTCAATTTTAATTTCTAATTCAACAACACAAAAACAGTTTATAAAAACGTTTGAATAAATTACTGGCGTATTGTAGAAATACATCAAAATTATTCATAAATTAATAAACTGAACTGAAAATCATTTGAGAAAACTAATTTTTCAAAGAACAAAAAACAACAAACAGAAACGTGGAATAAAACGCCTTATTACAATTCATTTGCCTAGACCAGGAGTGAGCAAACCTTTTGTTGTGAGGGCCGCATTGTAAACTATTTTACCTTTGAAGGGTCGCATATGTACTTAGATAGCAAATTTTTTCGACCTGGGGTGAATTTGTTTAAGATATGTGGTTTCTTTTTTTGGTCATAATGTCTGGGTGACGACTTTCTTAGGCGAACAAGGCCTCACGGGCCGCATAAAATCGCGGGTTGTAGTTTGCCCATCTCTGGCCTAGACGGATCAGCCAATAATCAAAAAAGCAGCATTCAATACAATACAATACATACCAATTTGTAGGATCTCATAGTGAACAAATTAGCCAGCAGCGTCGAGAAGCCAGGCGCCAGACAGCTCTGAGCGATGAAGCCCAGCTTCAACTCGGCCAGGCAGACGGCATCGTCACCTCTCTTCCAATCCCAGCTTGGAATGTTCAACAGGTACGACTTTGAAAATGATGATACGTCACTTTTAAACTAATTGTAAAGAATTTATTGCAACGAAATAACTTTGAATGTGTTCAATAACGTGTGATTCTAATTAGTGTAATTATAATTAAATATAATTGTAATAATTAAATAATTATAATTAATTAATAATTACGATTGACTACAATTAAAAACATGTATCACCTTGTTGTGGTACTGCAAAAGTTGAATGATGACCTTGATGTCGTCGTGGTAGTTCTTGATGGAGATGACACGAAGAATGTTGGCAGCGTCCTCAGCATCCGGGTCCTCACAATATTTGTTCGCTAACACGAGGCAGGCATCCGCTTCCTTAATCTGCCAAATGATGATGTGCAGATGTGCTGATGAAATAGCGATGACGTTTCGGATATTGGTGCTGATGACGTAACGATGGTGAAATAGTGATGTCATTTCAGATGATCTGTAAGATGATGAATGATAATGTGATGGCAATGAAATTGTGCTGACATTCAATGTGACTGCGATGATGACAGCCACGATGATGAAGATGATGGTAGTAACATAAATACGGAAACTGTTGCAGAGAATGATGATTGCAATGATAATGTTGGCTCCATCAGATGATGATGCAAGCAAGATACATAGGAAGGCATATTGATTAGGTGAGTAACAAAATAATAATCGAACGTTAAAAATTATCTAGATAAAGACGACAATAATGATGATTAAAGATCATTTCTACGGTCACTATGTTATGATAAAAAACAACAGTCGTTGAAGCTGAACTAAAAAATTATTATTTTATTGAAATAATTTGATAGTTTTGTTTCATCATTTTCAGATGTTTGCGAAACAAAAAAGTTTCAAAAATATTTGTTTATAATATTTTATTCCTGATCGCTGGAGATTTTAATAGGATTAACCCACTTAGGAACAAAATTGAATTTGTACTATTTACTCTGTATAAAATATTTTTGTTGGCAAAAAACTTAGCCGCATATAGGTTGGTTGCTGACATTAATAAAAGTTTCTCATTGCTGGAGAAGTTTGATGTAATCATCTTGATGTAATCATGTTGATGTGAGTATCATGACGTAACGTAATCATCTTGATGTAATCATCATGTTATAACTATCGTATCAATCATGCGAAATATAATGTCCAATGTTTGCCGAAGACAAACAAACGCGTAAAGTAATTACCTCGTGTTGTGTAGAGAGAGAAAGAGAGAGAGAGAGAGAGAGACAGAGAGAGAGACAGAGAGAGAGACCTTAGACTTATTTTACCACTGCCTTTTTCTATATACATTTTGTATGAACGTTTTGACGACATTCGTATGTCTATGTGTACGTACGCGCGTGTGTAAGTCCGTGCGTGCGTTTGTGTGTATGTGAACTAGAAATTTGCGTGCAATCATTTTCATCTTTAGCATCATCGCTATGTTTATAATCTCCATCCTCATTCTCCTTATTAGGTATTGATCAAATTTATTAGGTCAGCTATGTTTTCTCTTTTTTTTTGTTTTGTTTCAACAATTTTTATGTTTGAAAGAGAGCAGCAGATATGTCATTTATTCTATTTTTTCAAGTTAACTATTATTTTTTAGGAATAAATGTTGTGTTTAATAAAGCATGGTGAACGTTATGCAATAAAAAAATACAATTTTTTTTAAACAAGATTAAGCATATTTTTTCTATAATAAATGCTGCTCAAATAATTATGATAAAAAAAATGTTTAAAGGTAAAATGGAAGCATTGTTTTGGAATAGTTGTCAGGCAACGTTAAAGAATTGTGCGGAACATTCCAAAGTTAATGTCATCGTCGATATTTATAATCTTTAAATTGCTTGTTTCGCGCAAAAACTTGAAGTTGATACAAATTTATAAATGCATTCTTCTGTTTCAATGGCTCCAGAAAGTAATTTTTACAATTTTTTTAAATTTTTGAATAAGAAATTACTTTACATCCAGAGTCTAAATATCCCAACATTATTTATACATCTCAATTATATATACAGATGGAATTAACTGTGAAAATCTAGATGAACCAAGAAAAAACATTCGCTTTTTCCAAATCTCCCAACTTTTAGAGCAAATTTCAAAATCCGCCAACGCTCATAGACTGCTGTTTGTTTAATTTTATTTTTTTGATTTAAATGAGACTTGATTTACATAATTTAGTAAAAAAAAACCTTAGTGCCGTGTTACAATGCCGCGTTGGTTTGTCGTTTTTATATGCTTATGAATGTTACCCATGCATGATGCGTCATGTGTGTAAGGAAATGCTCGAATGCTACTGTTGCCTCTAATAAATAACTTTTGTGTACAAATTGAGAAACTCAAGTGATTTCCTTACATTTACAATTGTTTGTTTGATGTTATAATGATGACGATGGTAATGGAGAAGATGCAAAAAAATTTGAATTCGCGATTAATGAAAACGTTTGAAGTATCGTATAAAATACTGGGTCAGAAAGAAAACCGTCAATTCTTGAATAAAAAACACTATAAGCAAAAATGAATTAAATTTATTTCAGCGAGTGTTATTAATATTAGAAGACGACTCACGTTGACTCTGTGCAAATCGTTTGCGTCCATGACTGTACCTTTAAAAAATTCAACTTGAGTGAAGTGGCGCTTGAATAGACCCTCCAGCTCGAGGTCAGGCTCTTTTCTAACAGCATTCGTGTAAATAATTTTATTACCGTTGCCGAGAAATTGCTTGTCAAAAATTATTTACGAAAACCAAATGTAATGAAAAAATAACATGCAGACAAAATATTACAATAACATTATCACTATAAGGACATTTTGCACCAGTGTGATGGAATAAACTGGCCACCCACCTGTTCATGATGACCAACTCAACGTCCACGTCCTCACGATCTTTGTGCAAAAAGTCGGACATGAAATTAGATACGGATTCGTAGGTGATGTGCCCGCAGAGAACGATGTGCCTGGTGACAAATTATTAGAAATTTATATTTATTGAGAGCTATGTTAATAAACGAGATTGTTTATATAAACCTTTTTCCGTGCTCTTTCTTGTATGCACCTCCGTACTTACTCCTTGTTCCCAATATATCCATTATTTCCGGTATGAAACTGGCAAACATGGCCTAAATGAAAGTATTAAAGCCTTCTGATAGCGATACATGTGTGAACAGGTTAGTTCATCGTTCTGATTTTTATATATATAATAACAAACATTTTAAAACATGAGCATTTAAAATTTCAGCCATTTTTTTCTCTACAAAACCATATTTGTAAATTGGCAAAAACATTAACAGAAGCTATGCAAATACTGACCAAGGCTCCAAGAATGAAGAAAATCATGAAGAACCTCCCCAACGTTGTTTCGCAGTAAACGTCGCCGTAGCCCACCGTCGACATGGTGACTAACGTGAAGTACACGCACTCCCAGTAGGTCTTGGGCCGGACGTACTTGAAGTCTTGAAATGGGTCGCCTGAATTTTCTACCTATGTTTTAATGACAAGCAAAATTACGAAAAAATGTTTAAATTGTTCTAAAATGATTTAAATTTCTACATCACATGTAGTACAATGATCTGCCTCAATCGATAGCACCTCCGCAAGAATCTCATCAAAACGTTAGAATGAACAACAATTAGGGGGACATAATAACAACTGACCAAATGGACAAAGCCGGCTCCAGTGAACCAAACGCTGACAAGCGTGGAGACTAGCTGACACAAACGAATGTTGTTGGAAGTCTTGAGGATGTTCAAATACTGCAGGACGTCTGGAATGGACATTAAACGGAGGGCTCTCGTGAAGCGCAGACCTTCGCGTGTCAAAGAAAACAGTTTAAATTAAACAATGTTTTATTATTTATTTATTTTATTAATTGTTTGTCATTTAATTTGCAAAATGATACTAAAAACCGCATAACCTATTGAAAAACTATTTTTTCATCAAGGAATTTAACCTCAATATAGTGTTTCAAAGAGAAAAGTTTTAAATAAAAATAAATTTCAATTGTCAGCTTTTCCCATAAATACTCAATGAAACCAAATAAATTTTTATACTAAACAAGGTATTTTTCAAAATTATATAATATTTTTTAATTTTGTCAAGTTTGAAAATATTTGAGTTTGATTTTATAGAAGAATAATTCGTTACCAAGCCAATTTCTGTTGAGATAGATGGCGACGAACGACGGAGGAATGGTGAAGTAGTCCACCAACGAATACAACTCGAGCAGGAAACACAACTTCTCGGGGGCCGCTATGAACTGAACAACAAACAACGCGAAACATGATATTTATTAACATCTACACCAATTCTACTCGCGGGTAGAAATTTTCAAATAAGAAAGTTATAAATAATGAAACATTTATATTTTATAGTTACAAACGAGTAAGTGAGAACTAGCCCTGATGAAGAAGTAGACCATGAAGAAGATGTTGAAAGCCAGATCGACCTGCTGCGTTGTACTGTTGGCCCATTTCTCGCACGATTCAACTTCCTCCCTTGTTTGAAAATCATTTGAAAACATTTTTGAAAAAATGTGTACAAATAGTTCTGAAACATAAATATATAAGTTTTGAGAAATATGAAGGCGGAAGTGTAATTTGAGAGCTAAGTACGAAAAAATATATCTAATGCTCTCTCAGCATTTTCTTCTATAAAAATATAGTCAATTTTAAATTTAAGTTAAACATTTTTTTAGCTAATTTATATTCAATTTCACATCAATTAAATCAAATCACAATAATTATTATCAGATGGGTTTGTGTACAACATTTCAAAATATATCCACATAGTGCACAAAGAATTTAACTTTTTAAATTTCAATCATTTTTACGTTCCCAAAATTTATAGTGTAATGTGAACCTATTATTTCATGAAGGTTGTTGACAAAGGAGATCCTGCCTTAATGCGTTGAACAAAATCACTTCAACTTAAATTGAAATTGATGACGTCTCAGAAACAACCCGACAAATAACTGTTTTACGGAGAGGATACATTTATTGTCACCAAATTTTTCCACATTTTCAAACATGTACTAACTTCATCGAAACTTTCACCAAGTTTTTATAAAATCTATAAATTCCTTTGAGTGATCTCATTTAATAAAAAAGAAAAACTTATTTGTTAACGATAAAAACCGGAGGGAGTGATATTCTTAAATGCTCCCTCACATCATGGCAAATGTTCATATGATCACAGTAAACGAAAAATAAAATAATTTATACGGTACATGAAAGCGAAATAAAATTCAGTAAACAAATGTGATTGAAAAAATTTGTTTTATAAATTTTTTCCCATCATTTCATTAAAGAGAATCAAATCGGCGTGCATAATCATGTTTACACAAACACGCATATATAGAATATATATCTATAATATATGTATGTGTATATGTATGTAGATGAATGTATTTGTGCGTATGTATACATTGCTTTGTATCATTACCTTTATGATCTGCATAAATGTTAGCATCTGTATCGTAAATAAATGTATAGGAGCATTAGAAGCTGCAAGGCGTGTTCTGCAGATTGTTATTGTGACCAGTTTTGTAAACATTTTTGTCTTCTGTCAACCTTTTTTTGCAGAAGCAACGGCTGTCTTGTACTTTAACGACGTGTGTGTACATAAAGCACAAGTTTATTAGGGCGATAAATTCCACTGCTAGTCTTCGGTTGACATTACAAAACTTTTTATCCCTCTGCAATACAATTAATTCAAGATCCTGCTGCTTTTTAAATTGATATCGAATAGTATGTATCTGCAGTTTAATTAAAAAAAATGAATGATTGATTCTCAAGGGTTTTTGTTTTAATAATATGTATCTGCAGTTTAATTAAAAAAATGAATGATTGATTCTCAAGGGTTTTTGTTTGAAATTTTTATGAATTTTAATTTCAATTTTGAGCCATTTTCTTATTGAATTAGAAAAAATAATTTTCCAATTTCACGTCCGCAAGGAAATTATAAAAACATAATTAAATAAATGGCCAAATAAATAAATTTTATTTAACTTTATTTAAATTATGTCAAATATTATGAACGATACAAGTAAACCGAAGCATTCAAATAAGTACAGCGACTATTAAACAACGTAATTAAGATTAATTATTCAGTCAGCTGGATGAGAAGGACGAGGATTAAGTGTGGTAACGTTGCATTTTTAATTATTTACCAGTCGTCATTTGCCTGGTTCTAGTTTTTTTTTTTTTTTTTTTTTTTTGAAATGATAAACCCATGATCATCTCAAATGTATTAAATTGTACTTAGTAACTGGATTTGGTGTATCATCCGATAATATGGTTGAAATCGGCGAAATCATTATTTGAGAGTAATTAGTGCGATCAATTCAGGCTCTGTTTACAAAATACAATTGAAATTTGTTTCCAGTTATACATTATATAGTTTGTTAATTAAATTACTGCCAAGCCCGCATCCAACAAAATTTGTGTACATCTGTTAAAATATTATAACAAAATCATAAAAGTAGCCAAAAACTGGTTTTTACTTGACGAGTTTATCAAAAAAAAACATTTTCCAGTTCAATTGAATTAATTAATAAAAAGTTTCAACATGAATTTTTAATAAGAATGAAGTCACATTCTCAACGTCTCAAGATTAACTGATGTTATTTGTTGGCTTTGAGAATAGATGCAATGCATTGGAACAACTAATCATAACTCGTCTTTAATAGATCACTGCTATATAAATTTGCTTTTCTTAAAATCATTGACTGGATAATGAAAAGCAAACGTGTAGCTGGTTAGGCATATGTTCAACAATGTCATACACACATTTGTTTATCAATTTTATACATAATGCTTATAAAAAATACTATTGCTAATATTTCATATTTTATTGATGTTTGAAATCGTTAAAAATAGATCGCAGTTTTTACAGCGGCTTTCTCGATAGGACGGTGGAAATTGAAAAAAGTTAAATAGAAAAAATTTTGAAAAATATTTTGTATCAGAATCAACTACAAACCAACTAGTTTTATAATGAAATCACTGCATGGTTGTTATTTTACTCGTTTGACAGGTGAACTACTTATTTTTTTCAACAGCAATACTGTTGTTTTTCCTGATCAAATAAAATCATCTTGTATCATGTTATCAGCTTCTTCTAGAAACATTAACTTGTTTGTCATTTAAGCAAATATTTACATAAATATCAGATATCATCATATTTGTTTTTACGTCTGTTATAGAAAACTGCTGCAAGAACTTTTGTTCATCCATACACGTGTGCATGTGCCTGTGTGTGTGTCTGTATGTGTGCATGTGTGCATGTGCGTTCATGCACGTTCTGTGTGCGTGTTGAAATTGATATAATTACATACTAATCCTATTTCCAAATGACGAAGATACTCACTGAAAATATGCAAACAACAAAAACAGAATCAGAAAAACGAAGGAACGAATGAGCAAACAAACAAACAAACAAACAAACAGATGAATGAACACATGAATGAATGTCTAGGCAAACGAGAAAACGACACTCCAAACAACCAAATGAACGACAAATGAGTGAACGAATGGACGAACAGACAAGTCATTCACTGCCTCCAGGAGATGCTGTTGCACACTGTCAAACACATACAGCGATGAATAATATGTGTTTGTTTGCCTGTTTGCATGCTTGTTCGTTTGTTTGTATATTTGTGTGTACTTTTTAATCCGTTGTGTTTATACATAACTCTGTAAATTCATTTGTTTTGTTAGCATTTTTTGCAATAAACTCGACGGAAGAGAATAAATTGAAATGAAATGATGTTCACCGTATATAATGTTTTTTTACTTTCTATTTGTTTGGAATGAAAAAAATTCTCAATCACAAACAAATGATTGCGAGGCGAACAATCGCGATAGCACAAAAAATGAATCATCAGATAAGGAGGTGCAGGTTCAATAGTGGTGGAAAAACAGGGCACGTACACTGGATCTAAGCAAACAACTAACAAAAAAACTGCAAACAAACAAACACACAAAAACCAACGAAATAGCAAACAAACCAACAAACACCTCTATCAAATTTGTACGCCTCGCTGTACACAATCGTTGGTTGTTTGGCGGAAAAATAGAAATAACGCATTTGATCGGTAGAAATTGTTGTACACGTTAGAGCAGGCTGGGCTAACAAGCGCATAAATGTATGCGTGTACAACTCGTTTACGTTATGCACGGTGCGATGAAGTGTTTGAGTTATATCAGCGCGAACATTACTGCGTCAACAGTGAGAAACGTCATCTTCGTCATCATCGTGCCGCCGTAGTAGCTGTCGTTGTGGTCGTCACTGTCATCACTATCTCTATATCACAATCGATGTCATCATTGTAGTTGCGTCATCGTTGTTATCATCATCTTCATTCTTTGTTATCGTCATTATCATTGTTGTTAGCATTGAGTTGCCATCATCATTTAAAGCCTCATCATCAACATCATCATCACTGTTGTTGGGACCTCCATGATAGCAGAGCAGCCAATGTTGACATCATCATCTTCATCATCATTCTTCTATCCATCGTCACCTCTCTCTTTGTTTTCGTTGTTGCTATTACTAAGCCCCTCTCGTTTCTATTGCAAAATTATTAACTTCTGCATTTGAATTTTTCAGTTTTTTTTTCAGTTAAATTAATCAAAGTTTGACGTGAAATCTAATTCATTTTCAAAATTTATTTTGTCATAAAATTTGTTGATCAAGTGAAAGTATATAAAAAATTGCTCATAGCAGTAATATTAGTATTAACATGGTGAGAAATAGTTAAATAAAATAAATTAAATAAATAAAAACTGTAAATTACTTTGTATTCTCAGTTAAGGAATATATAATATTACAGTTTTTTTTCGTTATAGATGTCATTTGTGACTGTTTTTTTTGCGTTTCTATTTATAACGATGGCCTTCCAATAGATGAAATAATTGTAGAAGATCAATAAGATTGCCATGCCATATAGTGTTCATGTTCATTCATTCATTCACCACACCGAAGACCGAGGTATTTTTTAACCAGCCATAAATTATCATTGTGTGTCTTTGCTTAATGATGTTGTTATTAATTAGTTATGAACGTTGTTAGATGTTTAAAAATAGTTTGAAGAGTTTTTAATTGCGTATGTAATGTTTTTATTTGTGTTGGTTGTCTATATTCGTTTTTTTTTTGTTCTGTACCTAATTTTTTTCTGTAACTTTGCCAAACAACTTTTCAATTGCAAGATTTATAATACAATCAACATGTTGTCGTTAGTTTTAACATACATATAAATAAAGAAACTCGTATAGAAACAATACAACGAAAGTCTCTTCTTAGATGTAAACGTAGACTAAACTAGTTAAAATGATTTAAAACCTACCCAAGCCAAAATATATTTATGAGAATGTGATGACAAATTCTCAGTGAGAACATTTTTTTTCTAGATGTAGAAGATAAAGGAATGGGAAGAAAAGAATAAAGAAGTGATAAAAAAGATAATGCATATTTTGTGTAAGCCGTATTAAACCCCTTTATTCTTAAAACTCGTTTACATGTCAGCTTGCATTTGAAGTAAGAAAGATAAATAAGAAGCACGACAAATAATATTTCTGCTTATTTCCTGGAAGACTTGAGGGAAAAAATCCGGTTACATAGATAATTAATTTGATTGAACATGCATGCATACTTTGCCAGGTTCATTAAAGCACGGGTACGTAAACCTCCATATAAAAATTTCGTCATTATACTAACGACAAGGTATTCATAAATACAAAATACGTATCTATTAACATGAAGTGTGTATTGAATATAAAACACATGGTATTCATTAATGCAAGGCATTTATTGACACAAAGGTACAGACAGGTCATGGTACATGGCAACAAAAACGAATGCTGAACATTGATCGAATCACACGCACGCACGCACGCACTTACGCGCACACGCAGCTGCTGTTAATGACGAAGTTGTAATTAATCGAATGCGCTCTCTACCTACTTCATTGTTTGATTGCGTGCATCAATGTGAATGAGAAATAATCAAGTAGAAGATTGAAAAAAATTTGTTTACCATCGTGCCCAACCCAACGAAACTCAAGCGAAAGTATCTGTGCAACGAGTGTGTGTGTATGTGTGTACACTTGCTTGCACGCAAGTACAAGAACCTACATGCAAGCGTACATCAATCAATAATCATTCATAATTGTAAAAACTTGCTTGCACGCAAGTACAAGAACGTATATGTGAGCGTACATCAATCAATAATTATTCATAATTGTAAAAACAAAATCTTGAATGAATAATTATTGGCAATCAAACAGTGTTTAATCTATTTAACCACTGCTTAAGACTGCTGCTAAACAAATTATCATCAATACTACGCCATGTAGAAAAAGGTCAAGTAAATTAAATTATGCCATATATACCCAAATTTTTATGGCAAAAACTGTCTTCCCAGGCAGATTCAATATTTTTCTTTATAAATCAGCCAACATTCCTCCGTAGCTGTAATAAAATTTTTAAAATAAAGCGGCAACATAGACTACAGTCACAAAAATATTAAACATCTCACACATCATACACGAACTCTCAAACATTCTAAATATTTCCTCTATCGAAATTTTCTGAATCCAGCAGAGCACTTACGTTTGCATACTTCACTCTTGTAATGCGTAGTAAAGATGCACTCGCATACACATATACAAACAAGAAAACACACACAGACGCGCATAAACACATATTCATACCTACACATATACATACGCATAGAACATACAAAACAAGCATACAAAAAAACATACAAAGCATGAAAGACAAACGTTGAAACAAACAAACCGACAAAGAAACGAACGACTTACGTGGATGTGTCGATGAAGTAGATGATGAGAGAGGCGAAACTCAAGAGAAAAACCAGAACGACCTGAGTGATTAATGATTGAGTCATTAATTATAATTAATAATAATAATGATAATAAATATTATTGTTATTATTATTATTATTCTACGGCTTAATCTCTTTTAATCTCGTGATTAATTTGGCCATTCGATTGGTTGATCCAATTTGACTCATTGATGTTCTTTTATTGTTACTGGGCAGCAGTAGGAGCAATCAGAATTATTGATGTATTAATTTGAAAGGCTGATAAATATGGAGATCATTTATTTGATTGAATAGCCAGCCAATAATGAATCAATAAATAACATAACTAATTATTTTTTCACCTAATGATAAATAAAAAAAACAAATGGGATGAAAACGTGATGGCATATAAGCGCTATCAAATCTACATAAATTTTCAAAAAGAAGAACTCGTCGAGACTTTTCTGAACCAGTCGGGACTTAAACTTCAATTATATGTTAATTTATTAATTATTCGTTCAATTCACAAATAATCTAGAAGTGCTTATAATTGTTTTTCTTAATCCGAATAATTTATAAATATTTATCATAATTTTTTTCAGCTGCTACTGCTGCTACTACCACAAACACAACATGCAATAAAAACAACAAAACAAAAAAACAACACCATACTTAACTATTAAGACAACATATAGACAATCTGCCAACAACAACAACCACAACAATAACAATAAAATTACTACCACTACCATTACGGCCACTACAACTACTACAGCTACTATTGCTACAATTGCTACCACTACAAATTTTTACTATATCTACAAATACTTTAGTTACTTTTGCGATTACTATTTCTACTATCATTAATACTACTACTACAATTACTACTACTACTATTACTACTACTACTACTTCTACTACTACTACTACTACAACTACTACTACTACAACTACTACTACTACAACTTCTACTACAAAAACAACTACTACTACTACTACTACTACTACTTATAATAATAATAATACTAACAATAATGCGAAAATTTTTAGAAGTAATTATAAAACCATTATTGCCCAAACATTTACATAGAATTTTTCATTTTTTCCGCCTTAACAAAATAAACATTTTTTATTCGTTCTTGAAAACTGCGGATTTTTGCAATTTTATAAAAATTACAAAAAGAAAAATCGTAGAAGTAATAAAAAATTAATCATAATAATGGTAATAATATTAATAATAAGTATTAATATTATCAATTTTATTATCAATTTTATACAATCAATATATTGATAATAGCCAATGTGTCTATCGCTTCATAATAATAAATTGTGTAACTGACATTATTTGCAACATGTTAACTATCATTATTATTATTTACCATTATGAAACTATATATAACTCGTTCTCGTTATAATTATTAATTATAATATTGTTAATTATAACTCCAACCAATATCCTTCCGATGGTGGTTTGCCCGGATATCAACTCGCCCGCCCAATCCTTGGCCTCGGTCACCCATCCCACTTCGGACGAACTGTTGAAGTTTTGGCGAGTTGTGTCGGCGCCAATCAAGCCGCAACCAGCCGATCCCTTCCGCGTTCCTTTTAAACTTTTGGAGGATCGATTCGTGAGTGTGGTCTTGCGTTGCCACACGAACCAACTGAATATTCTCCACAGCAAGACCAACAGCAGTCCAGAAAAAAATGTGATCAGACTTGAGCACAAAAAAGCGTACCAATGTCGATCGAGCAAACAATCATCAGATGGTTTGGAGGATGGCGTGCTGCAGACGGGCAAACAAATTGTTTGAGAGCCTCCTTTCTGATTGGCCACGTTTGGGTAGACGTGGTGGTTAGTGTTTGCGTTGTAACTCTGGTCTTTGGGACCCATCGCTCAAAGCTTTGTCTTTTCAGAAAAAAATAGTCCTCGATTGATGAAGTAGAATATTTGTCGATGGATATTTTACGCTGTTCACTGTGATGTTGTTAACGTTTCCAGCACGTTTGCTGTTTGCGCTTTCATTACAATCAAATTTTGGATGTGAATTGATACATTCATGATAATTTTCAACATAAATTTTTTAAACTTTACGCAACTTTTGACAAAATGTTTGATGCAACAGTTTCCACTTTGAAGATTCCGAAAACTGATGATAAGATTTTAATAATTGTCATTAAAAAACGTAACAACAACGCACGATACACGTCATGAATGTTATGACGATGGAGCAACTGAGCAAAATTTTTCATCTTCAAATAAATATTTCAACTGAACATGTTCGATTGAAATTTGTTGTACGCCTATCTACAGATTTTTTAATGAAGCGTCACGTGTTACATTACTTTGTTAATGTTCACTCTTTATTCATCTGTTCGTTTGTCCGTTTTTTCATCCGTTCGTTTGTTCCTTTTTTGTTCGTTTCATTTGCTCGTTTGTTAAAGACTAGTTCTTGCCACTCAAATCGCATGCATTTATACAGGACAGCTTAACAATGTTCTATTCCATACATGTATGCATATATATATTATATATATATATATAATATATATATACTATTTGTATCTGTATGTGTTTTAATAAATAAATATTTCTAGAAGACTGAGGCTGGTTAGCAGCATTAAAATTTTTGCGATGGAGCTCAACAACCTTTCTTGCCATTATTTTTCATTGCAGCACAGTTCAGTCTACAAATTATTTCATTTTTGTTCCATTCAGCTAAATAAATTTCTTCCTTCAATGCATGCTAACTTTTTTGGTAATAAATATTAATTTTTTTTCCTCATGATAAAACATATGTTCCTTTATAACTATAGATTCCATAGAGAGTTAGCCATTAAGCAGAAGTATAATATGTTAAAAAGTACTTCCCAAAGTCCATACAGATGCACACTTCCTAGTATGAAACCTTGCTCATTATGCTTCTTTCCAAACCTATGCACACAGACTGACAAAAAAACTCTTACGCTCACGCATTAATATAAGACAACAAGAACGAACGCAAACTCACACAGGCACACAAATCGACAAATAAAAAATTATTTTGAAAATTTTTTTTCACAAGCAACCATGTATACAAACATAGAGTATAGACGCATGCACATGTTTCACAAGATGCACAAGTACATGCATGAGCGTGCACAGCTCGTACGAGTGGACGTACATTAACACACTGATACTGACTGATACACACGTGTGCAAGCAGAATTTGTTTGTTCGCTGCTACTCGGCAAACAGAGCATCAACACAAGTGTACACAAGTCTACTGCAAACACTCCATGCCTTCAAATGAACCGCTTCATAACGGTCTTATAAATTAATATTCATTTTTATCTGCCATTTTATGTTTTAAATTGTGTTACCGTTTTATATTATATTGATCGAGGAACTACGCCAACATAAGCCATAAACATAACAACAATGGTTTAACGAATGGGCTCTCTCATATGTCAGCAACTAGTTTACAGAGAATGAATGATAATAAATTTTTTGACGTGCAATTCAGCCTCCCCAATTATAAGTGCATAGCAAACAGTGATTCATTTTTTAGACAAACCAATCACAAGAAGATGACAACACTTCATGTGCACAAATGACGCTCAGTGAGTATAAGAAGTTTTTCGAAGAAACACAACAAGCTTGTTCTTCCTGGTTCAATTGCACGCTGCACCATAAATCTGGCTTGTTCTTAAATAGTGCATGTTAATGTTAAATGACATTTAAAAAAAGATCAAGAGTTATGAAAATTTATTAACTAGAGCAAAATTATGTAATATTGACGGTGTTTTTGCATATTATAATGAAAACCTGATTCTTATGCAGGAGCGAACCCAGAATTTGTTTTGAGAGGGACAAAGAGGTCTCCACATACGGATGATTTTTGGCATCCTGTAAACAGCTTCTTTCTCATTTATAAGTCAAAAGTAACAATCGCTGTAGTCGTTGAAAAATTCAAACTCTCAAATTGATCTAGTAGATCTTAAATGAAAACATAATTGTTTAGGTATACTTTAAGCTAACAACTGCTCTTTCTTGGCGGCAATAAACTTGATCAGTGATAGTTGTACTAGAATATTAAACAAAATTTTTCTTCTGTACATAATTAATTAATTAATTATTTTTTTGCGATTGATAAGAACGTTTAAACGATTGACAATAAACGAAGTTCTTGAAGCATGTGACTTCATACAGACGACTTATTTGTTTAAAAACATTAAAAATGTTGGCAGGGTAGGAAGAAGAGAGTTTTTGCAGTCTTTTGTCATTTGCACCTGTCTAATTACGTCGCTGCATCCGTGTTTCACCTGAATTCTATGCATATAATCATTTATACATGGAACCAACTATTTTTTCAAACTTCTGCTAACATCTAGCATTTTAAAATTTTTCTCGTGAAATTTAAACTTTTCAGGTTCAGTTTTTGTGAACATTAACAAAAATTCGGTTTAGTTGACATGAGAATTTACAATTCCCTATAGGATTCCATGCTATCCACAAGAAGAGAAATGAAACAAAAATCAGCATCAAGACATGAAATTCAATTAGAACTGACAGCAAACAGTAAACGTGCATTCACAATGTTTAAAGGGCAGAGACAACTTTGGAAGAAAATTGTTGATTGATGGTGCTAATGATTGTGGCTCAAATTTGGCTGATGTCGGCTGCTAAAAATAAAATTGCAGAGTTTCTGAGAGAATTTGTAAAACGAACGGCTGAAGGATTTTGCGTCTGTTTGCACGTGTTTGTATACGTTGTATGTGTTGGTGTGCTTTGCAGTTTTTGCACTTGTATGTATTTGCATTTTCTGTGTTACATGTATTTGTACCTGTTAATATGTTTGACATGTTTTGCATGTGTTTGTATGTGTTTGTATGTTTTTATATGTTTGTATGTTCATCTTTCACCTTGTTCGTTCTGCAAACACAAACGTTCATTCAGGTTTGTTTTCGATCACTCTGCTCGATGCTTTTTCTGACATGTGTTTATATCTTTGCATGATTCACGTATTCAACCAGCCGGTTATTTCAAATATTCTTGATTTCTTTGTGACGTAGCAAAACTTATAAATATTTATCAGGAAACTGCTACCTCGTTTTAAGCGTGTATTATAAACAGATATTCGTTAAAAAAGGGCTTAAAATGGTATGTTTTAAAATTTTATTTGATTGCACTAGGTGAAATTTTAAAAATTCTCTTTTCAAGTTTATGCCAAATGATATTTTTCCTACCAACATGAAATTGGAGCCATCCTACTCTATTGGCAACCAGTTTGCTGAAACGTTTCTCATGTCATTTGCCTCCTATCAAATTCTCAAAACGTTTCCAAAAACTGGAACCAATGTTGGCTGTGTGATGGAGGAGCTTGTTTTCAAAGTAAAAACCAATTCAGAGTCTGTGTATAAAGTTTATAATTTAAATTTTAAAGTGAATGTTTACGATGAAAAACTATAATTAGCAAAAACATTTATGAAAACTCGGGTTATCATCTGAAATAAGGAATAAGTTTTCAGCTTTAAAAATTTGTTTAATGCATTCAAACTTAATAGTTGTGAGAATATCATGTCAAAAGCCATTCACATCTTATTGAAAATTTACAATTAATTTTTGTCATAAAAATAAAATATTAAATGTTTTAAAGTTAGACGACTGCGAAAATGTTATTAAATTTAACAATGTTTGATGGAATGACAATTAAGACGAAAATAATTTTTATGCGAGCGTAATAAATTCAACTGTTGTCACAGTCGCTTTTGTACGTACGACACATAAAATTTCATATACTGCACAAATGAAAAAAAAACTCACATCGTGCCATATCTGCATTGCTTTTATTGAAGCTCCAGCTCCAATATTTTGATCTTAAAGTTTATAAGTTTTTAAATCAAGGATTTATTATTTTTTGTCAAGTTTTTTTTATTATTAATTTAAAAATTTCAATCTAATAGTAAATTATTTCTCATCAACGCAACGAAATATGTCAACCAATTTTATTATAAATCATTGAGGCGATCGTGAAGATTGATTCGAAAAACATGGAATCTGACTCAGTTGAGGTGCACCTACGCACGAACCTCAAGCACCTCAACAACCAAACCGGAGAGTGGCACTTTGTTAACCTTCCCTATCGAGGAGCCAAAGAAGAGGTGCGGATGTGTGCATGAATTTTGATATATGTGCAAAATTACAATTAGAAAAATTCGTTTAAAAATAAATGCGTTTATAACAGATTGAAGAATAATGAAATAAATTACAATGAAACATTCAAATGAATTAATAAGAAATATTTGAAAGCAGGACATTCACGTATACGGACAAGTGTTGGTGTTGATAGACGATGGCGTGTTCGATTACATATTCAGAGCAAAATCAAAATGTGAAAAAGTTGGCGTCTACTATCCAGGAGAGGGCAAGTATTCGACTCTCGTCGTTCGACCTCCCAAAAATATGGTGCTCTATGCCGACGTTTTAAGAGTTCCTTACATGAGGTTTTCACTTTTGGGCATGAAAAACGTATAAACTTTAAAAACATTCAATATTGTTAAGAAAAATTTACACATCCAATAAGCGTATTTATAAATGTTCAATGAAATAGCCAAATTATCGGTCCTCTGTGGGGTGGAAACGAATGGTCGGGAATCCAGAGCATGAAAAATGGTTTCACACATATCATGTGCCTGGCAGAAGAACTACCAATGCCATTCAGCAGTCCAGAAGGTCGGTGCTTTTGCCAGTGTCCACTGGTTCAAGGTGTGAAAAACCCTCTCAACAGAGAAGCTTTCAAAAGAGCTGTTTTCTGGATTAAAAGAAGTTTAAGAGACGGATATAAAGCACGTTTGCCGTTTCTATTTTTAAATACATATGTTATTTCAGTTACTTAATAACAAGCTACAACCAAATTATTCTTCAAGATACTGGTTTATAGCAAGCACGGTTTCGGGAGAGTTGGGTCTGTCATGGTCGGGTTCGTTATGATGGAAAATCCGACAATTGATTACAAAGAAGCATTGGATAAAACATTTTTAAGGAGACCAGTGCTACCACATAGAGGACTTGAAGACATTTGTAAATGTTTGTTCAGAAAGAAAAAAGATTCGTTAAAAATATCCGGCCTCATTACGGACAACAATCCAGAATTATCTGATAGCCCGTAAGCAGAGTAAGAATATCTGCTGAGATGTAACAATTAAAAGCGTTTTCAATTTTATAGAGTTTTTTTTAATGATAATTAAGTTTCAACAAATTTATTGGAGTATTTTATAACTAAATCTAAAAAATAAATAAGTATTTTTATCAATGTGAATAAAACTCGAAATAAAGCACAAAGATGAAAGGAAAACATTGAAACATTATAATTAGACATGTCTAGCAAAGCATCTTAAACATCCAGGAAGAAAAAAAATATAACTGTCAAATATTTTTCTTACCAGTTAACGAAAATAATTTTTTGACAAAAATAAGATGATAATAATAACGTTACACTTGCTGATACTTGTTAAAAATAATACAGTATAATCATCACACATGCATGTAATAATAAACAATTGCATGCGCACATACTCACACATACAATCACTTACACATATATAGATACATCATCATACGGCCAGCAAAATAAATAAGAAATTTTATAACATTGAATGAATGCTGTCCTCATGCTAATTATAAAACAGGCATCGCAAATTGCAATTTGGCATGTTTGACAATCATTATACTTTTAAACAATTTCAATATTGATGACTGCGTTGAATAATATAAAAAGACAGCGTACAAGAAATAAGCGTCATTGTACAGCACAATTTAAAACGTACGTAAGCTAAAATGTACTAGGTCTAGTTGTAATTGTTCAGTGTTATAATTTTACAAATCATTTAGATAAAATTCAGTTGAATTAAACATTGTTGAGTCTTATAAATAATTGATTCGAATCATAAAGAAATTATAGTTAGAGTAAAATAGAAACATTAAATTAGCTCAATCAGCATACCAGCAACACAAGCACGTTTCTATCACATATCAGTGCGAAACGGATCAGTTGGTTTGAGAAAATAGGTCAGTGTTCATTTTGATATGAATAATTACTCCAGTTAAACAAATCAACAATTAACATGCAATTAACATTTAAGATTTTAAACAACCGCATCCAAATTTTAATACAAAAAAGCCATAGATAGATTATATAAAAATTAAATTTTTATCATTTTATTACACAAGTGATTATGCAAGCCTGTAATTGTTTACGCGAGAAAGCCTTGGTTAATGCTTATATTTAAACTGAAAGCCAAAAAAAATTGCTGACCTCTCATGTTAGAGGTCAGCAATTTAACCTTATCATGTTTGATAGACAATGCGAGGTAAGATGGTTATAGGAGTCAGTGTAGTTGTTGTACATTGGACACGGTAGGTTAAGTGTTAGGGTAGGTCAAGCAATAGTAGAAATATATGAAGCATTTGGTATGGAACACTATTTGAACTTTAGAGACAATCGTTTTTCAATACACTTTTTTGTATTTTGTGACGTTCGAGATAAAATAAAAAATTATTTTCTATTAAGATTGGAAATTTACTTTTTATAGCAAAACGCATCAAGTCCAAACCGCCAGAACGTTTAAACTTAAAATAATCAGCTAAATAGCAGGCAGATCGACGGGACAGAGTTTAAGGTAAGTTAAGAAAAAAGAAACTTTAGTTCTAATACAGATGTGACAATAACCAGTTTAAAAATACATACATTTGGATGAATAATATTTGAGGAAAGGTACAAATTGAAAGACCTGACTTAGGTAGGAGTAGTCAAACTTGATCAAGGAACCAAAGAACGGATCAGTAATTATTAATGACAAACTCGACACCATGTAGCTGGAATCAAACGGCGCTGTATATCATAGTGAACTGTTTCAACCAAATTCAGTTTAGAATTGAGAAACTCGTAAAAATATACGAAAAGATGATTTGATAAAAATTGTGCGATTCAAGCTGATGTGAAGAGATGCGTAAAAAACTGTAGAAAACAAACATTGAATAATTTTTTTCAAATAAAACTCACATAAACTGAAAATTAATATTAAATGAAAACAAATGATAAGAATGAAACATAATTAAGATAGTGTTATATAGTGTGATGTTTGAAGAATGAAATAATCTTTTAATCGAGAACTTGAAAAAATACAATGATAATAAACAGTTGCAACAGTATAATTATTGAATGATAAACAAATTATAAATTTATAAAAATTTTAAAGTTGAAACAATCGCTACGGGGAATAAAGTAAAATTATTAACTAAAAGTAACTGTTAGGATGTTTGTTGTTTTAGATGTAATAAATAAATGTCATATAGAAATTAGTTCATAAACGAATACGCACATACGCATACACACAAATATTTACACACACACACACACACACACACACACACACACACACACACACACACACACACACACACACACACACACACACACACACACACACATATATATATATATATATTTATATATATATTATATAATATATATATATATATATATATATGTTGGTAATAGTAATTGTAAAAATATATATATATATATATATATATATATATATATATATATATATATATACACACACACACAGTAACTATTCTGAAATATATCCAAGTATACAAGTATAATTCAACGTGAACATGAAAACTCATCAAGAATTTACAGAAAACATGAAGAATAATAAATAATTTCCATCTATTGCTAATCATACTTGAATAACTTTTTACGTGAAATCATTATTTTATAATTACAATCAAGTTAATTACGACGAAATGGTGAAATAGCGAGAAAAAGAGAGAACAATGAGAAACAAGACAGGTCTCGCTTTTTTACGGACATGATTGATTCTATCCCTCTTAAAAATCATCGCCTAAATAGCATGCGTACATAACATCTTTATAAATTTGAATTTATATTTGTGCATATACGAATCAATATAAGATACAACGCAAGATTATTTGTATAATCTCCAACAACGTTGAAAGGCACAGTCTCCAACATTGTTCTGAAAGTTCTTTTCAACTTGCTGATGAAGATGAAGCGGCTGTTGTACTATCATATAATGTAATACTATTTTTTAAAAAGTTTCTCAACTCGTTATCACTTAATAGGAAAACCTTGCAAAATCATGCATCTACATAACTTTTCTAGCATTTTTTAGTTTTCTGTGCGCTACTTCCATTAGTGTACTCAACGGACAATGCTGTGTGGCATCATCTTCAACCTCTATTCCAAAGAAACATCAACAAAAATTGAATGTTCATTAAGGAAATTGAGAGATTTGTCATTTCTAATTATATATATATATATCTATATTATATATATTTATATATTATATATATAGTGATGATCGTATAGATATACAGTTCAGTTAGCAAACAAACGAAATGTAAATTTAAAGTTTTGTCAATAAATTGACTGAACAGTTCCAACATCACCAGATAAGAATCAAATGTCATATTAATCTTGTACATAAATACAGGCGGCCATGTTTATAATATTCAATTATTTAAAAAAAGTGTTATATATAATATAAATATGTGTGTGTGTGTGTGTGCGTGTGCGTATGTGTGTGCGTGTGTTTACGTATTCTGTAATTGTGTGTATATGTAAACACAATTCGCAGAATGAAGCGCATACGTTTAAACTTTATTACCTCCAACGTTGTGATCAATGTACGTGGGAATGGAACATGTAGAGTTGTCGAGCTCAAAAAATTATGTCAGAACGGTAGACTCGGGGTAGGATTTGTAGACCTGAAGTCCTGGACCCGAAAATACTTTCTGAATAAACAATCAAGTCTTTTAAAAATTTGTTGCAGACAAATAAAAAAATTTCAACAACAAATTTAGCAATTTGGTAAAGTCAGATGCAAGTTATACGCAGCTTAATTAGCGAGCTAACGAAAGAAGCAGTATTATCATGTCTGTACAAGTACTATCAGTAAAAATGTAAAAGAATATGTTAAGGGAAACGTAGAAAATGCTCACTCGCAATAAATCAGATAACGGTATTTTTTTCATAGGGCCATTTCTTGTGGGACCTCCCGTAAATCCAGTCCTGGGTTGGTTTACAATAAATTGCACAATGCAAATTATAAAACAAGTATGATCCACCGTAGAAGTTTAATTAAGATAAATTTTATCTTGGAAATAATAATGATGAGGGTTGACTTTTACAGAAATTTGTAAAGAGATAGTGTCAACACTGTTATATATGTGTGTGTGTGTGTGTTTGTTTGTGTGTGTTTGTGTGGGGTGTATACAGAATTAATTTTATGTTAGTAGTTAATTATGCTACATATATATATAATATTATACACACACACACGCACGCATAAATATATATATATATATATATATATATATATATATATATATATATACATTAATTTATTGCAATTGCATTTACATGCAGCTAAGTGAGTATAAAAATTGATAAAAAAAAGCCCAAACGCTCAAACACACACACATGAATGTCAGAAAAACATCCACAAAACAAATACTATCATGGAAATCTATCGATATTTAAGCGGAAGCAAGCAAGCGACCATATACTCATGTAGGCGAGCATTGTCTGCATACAAACATACACGTTTACACACACACGTACAATAACGCACACGAACACAATGGTAACACGTACACATACAAACACGCACACATACAAACACGTACACATACAAACAGGTACACATACAAACAAGTACACACACACACACACATACATACAGGCTTCGTAAGCAACTATTTAAAAAAAAGATGTCACAGTTGTAGTTTGGTCGTTGTGTAATCTATTTAAAGACGAACAGAAAAAAAAACAAAGATACGAAGAAAAAGTTACTTTTTGAGTATAAAATATATAAATATAAGTGTTCAATGGCAATTGTTAAACAAGCAATCAACACACAAATTTTCAAAAATAATTATACGAATTTTATTTGAAATGTTTTGCTACTATAAAAAAAATGAAAAAAATTCGATAGACTGAAAAAATTAGAGGAGAAGGCGTGCAATGGGTTACTGAAAAAAATTGAGAATAATAAAATTAAAAAAAATTTAATGATAAGATATCTTCGTAGTACAACACACAAGTGTAAACAGAAAATAATGTCTTTTTATCATTTTCAACAGTTTTTAAATGAAACATCAAATTAACATGAAATAAAAATATGAAACGCTGACCAAATTGTTTTAAATTTAAAAATTGCGTGAGTTCTAACGTTTAATAACTTCTAACGATAAATACCTTCAACTGTAACAGCGAATTTGACGATGATGGCGCTAAACGAAAACTAACCAAACAAATAACTTAAGGTAGAAGATTTTATTTTCATTCTATCTATACTGTCATTTCATTTCTGACTCGGTGACTATTGATGTGTTGTATGTACGTCAAATAAAAAGAAAATATATGTACATTGAAAAAACAAAATCAAAGAATGTATTGTATTATTGTACGTAACTTAACAGTAATATTCATAAAAGTAATGTCTTTGAAATTATAAAAGTACAAAATAATTTTTTGTATGGTTTATACAATTGTTTATGTGCACATACACATACAAACACACACACACACATATACATATAATATATCTATCTATATATATATATATATTATATATATAATTATACCTATACGTATTTATATACATGAAAGTCTTAGTTAAAACATGAGTATGCTTTGCACAATTAATAAATAAATATTTTGGTTAATAATAATAACCATTTACAATTAGAACTATTACAATTATTTATGTTATGAATAACACTTGAATGGATAAATCACATACAGCTGATTGCGAAAGATGATTTCGAACTGACGGTCGCCATTTTGTTTCTGACTGACATGCAAAATCGTTTTCATTAGCGTCCAATGCTGATGACAAATTGTGATGTGATTAGCGATCAAGTGAGTACTTAATTGGTGGCCGATTTCATCTGCCATTCCTCACCATCTACAATATCATCACTATTTTTATGCTGAGTAAAATTTAGTATCAAATGGAGAAACAAAACTTATAAAGTAATGCAAATAGTCCAGTCTATATTAAAATAAGATTTCTCAATAAGTGGATCAATCATGTCAAGCACCCAAGTGAGGTAAAAATTGTAATTTTATTCAATTTGCTCAATAAAAAATAATCACAATTCATGATTTCAAAAATCGTAACATAAAGATGAAAACATAATAACTGACTTTAACAAAAGAATTAGATACACTAGATATAATCTCAAATTTTGTCAAATTTTAAATTTCAACAAAGCGTTACTTTCTTGCACATGATCAGAGCATATCAAAACATACAAATCTTAAACGCTCATCTTCCCTTGAAATATCCATTAGAGGATAGAACGTAGTGAGAGAAATGATAAGCCAGATAGAAGCCGACGAGAATGTCCAAGATGAGGAGAGGGCCCAGTGTTTGTCATAAGATGATGCAACATTTGCAATATCTCCTTCTCGATCCCCCACTGTCCGCGGGTGGAGTGGCTGGGGCGAAGTATGCGTGCACGTTAAGATTCGGTAGAGTAGCCTGCAGTCAATAATATTTTTCTATATTATCTCGATACGATCTGATATGACGGTCAGCGAACAAACAGTGCAAGCCAGAGAATTCAATGAACCAAAAAACCCCTTCAAACAACGATAAACTTGAAAAATTTTTAAAATTCATTTTCGAAAAATTTAAACAAAAAAAAACACTTGAATTAAAAAAACCTGAAATGAATTAAACCAAAAATCCGATTTGAAAAACCTGAAGTTTTTGTACGCCAGATTTGGAAACGTTCTGGCAATCGTACAGTTCTATTCTTTTAAGATGTCTGCACGTCGAGAGGAAGCTGAGTGATGCGTCTGAGATGAGTGGGCAGTTGTCCAGTTCGATGACCCTCAAGCATTCAGATGCACATATGCTCGAACACAAGTGTCTGATGCCATCGTCCGTTATCAATTCACAGTGAGACAGACTCTGGAGAGATAGATGGATGGATGGATGGATGGATGAATGGATGGATAGATGGATGGATGGATGGATGGATGGATGGACAAAGAGGCTAACCAACTATCAATAATATCAACATCATAACTTATAAACAATGACACCAACAACATAGCTACTAAGAACTGACATCAACAAAACATTACTAACAATGACAGAAAGATGTGGTGCGTTTGTGGCTAGGTGGTTGATCGTTGCATCTGTTATCTGGAGAAACAAATGATGTGATGCAGCTGCTCATGTGATCAATGCGTTAAAGCCGACAATAACAATTATAAAGATGACGACGACTGACGGTAATGGGAATGACAACTACGAAAATAGGATGAAAACAACGATAGATATAACAAGTATAAAAGTAACGATGATAATGACGATGATAATGATAATAATTCCAATATATATGATATGTGATAATATATGCAAGAGTTCAAGTGGCTTAAAACATTCCTATCAATTTGTACATAAACATCTTCTCCAAACAAACTCAAATTTTAGTTTTCTTCAATTTTTTTATAAGTGCGAACAAAAAAATTGATCAAAAATATATTATCCGTTTTTAGCCTAAAGAAATTAGTTCATGCGTTTAGAATGACAGGACTGTTGATGTAAAAACGATCGAACCAATGTTGAATTCAACGTTTATTTAAATAATCAGTAGCAAATTTTCTCGACTTATAAAAAAATAAAAGTGAACTAACCAGCGTGCAGTCTTCAAGATCCATCTTCTCAAAATAGTGACTATGCTGTAATGTTATTCAAATGAAGATTATTCGGTTAATCTCTTTATAATGATAATCAGACAAAAACAAATGAAAATATCAAACAACATCTGAAACGGCCACATTCGTTACATGCAAAATTTCAAACGTCAAAAACAAAAGAGCATTGTAAGAACTTTTGTGAGTGACTCGAAGCCGTGATCTGTAAATAATGAACATCCCGCCACCTCTATCGTTCTGTCGGCAGCATGTCGGTTAATTTTAAAAGTTAATTCGCCAACAAACCACAATAAAGGCAATTTTTTCAATCATTACAACATCTAAAAAATTTCAACTAAAATCTCGCTGATGATGAAAATTAAAAGATGGTTTTAAAGGGGATGGCAATTTCAAATGGAAGATGATGCAATTACTAGCCTGATTTCTCTGCAATTTGTTCCAAGGTTGACGAGGCTAATATCAGTGAGATGTAAACATTTAGACAGACATATGCATGTTAGGTGGGGACATCCTCTGCTGATCGCCACAATACCTTCGTCTGTTAGTTGCTGGATGGTGGTGGGCAGTTTCGAGCGATTCATCAATAAATCAATTCTTGTAGATTAAATTGTCATCAGCTTCATTGACCAACCCAAAATATTTCAATAATCTTTTCAACTACTGACTTTAATCCATTCTAATTCAGAGAATATTTGAAGAAGTGTCAATTTCAGCTATCTAAATAAGATCACTGCAAAAAACGACCCACAAAGAAGGCTAATTTTAACTGTCGCACATCAGACATAGCTTGAACACCACATAGTTGAATTCAAAATAACTAGTTTTAAAAATTCATGCAATTAATCAAGAACTATTTTTGTTGGAAGCCTACATAAACTGAATGACTAAGCATAACCACATGGAACCAACATCATCATCCTCATCATCTTAAGACAGATCATTCTCAACACAAACAAGATGATGGCAAACATAGGAAGCTCAAAAATAAATGAACATGAATGTAAAAATGAGAACAAACTGAGCAGTTGAATAAGTTGAGTGTCTTCAACTCTGAACACCTAGCCAAGCATTTGAAACTGGCATCTGTCAACTAATTTTAAATTTTATATTCAAACAAAATTATCATTATTATTTCGATAAAATAAAATTTATTTTAATACAAAAAATTTCATATGTTATTCACGACTAATGTTACAACAAAAATCAATCAACATAAAACGATTGTTGAGGATGTAATTTTTCAAGAAAAAATGTATTTATAATGCAAACAAATGTTAATCTGATGGTTTGTTTCTATGTTAACAGATCTCAAACTGTCTCTTCAGTAAATTCGTCCACACAAGATAAATAAAATCACCGCCATCTCAAATGAGGTGCGATGTTACGAAATGGTGAACTGATCCCATTTCGGGGATGGTAATGACAAATGAGTAATAATGAAAAAATAAATTAATGAGAATAAGAAGTAGAGAAAACACCTGTGTGCATCCTTTAGCAACAAAGTTAACGAGCTTGTCGCAACTCTTTAAGAGGGCCACTACACCATCATCTGTCAACTGGTTGCACCATGCAAAACTCAACGATTCCATGTGCAGACATCCTTTGCTGTTTGCGTGGTGTTTGTGTAGTGTCTGCGTAGTGTTTGTGTAGTGTTTGTCCGTAGTTACTCTTGGTATAATTTGTTAAGAAAAAATAGTTTTTGTAATGGCTAACTTTTTTTATATAATCAAATTACGCAGGTATAAAATTTTTCATCTTCAAATGAGTTGTAAAGAATTTCGCTTTTTCAAAAAAGTACACACATGACACAGAAAGAACCAAACACATCGAACTCTCTCTCTCTTTCTTTTTCTTTCTCTCTCATTCTCTCTCTCTCTCTCTCTCTCTCTCTCTCTCTCTCTCTTACTTACACACACCAAACACACACACACACACACACACATTAAACACACAACACACACACACCACACGGTAGGAAAGAACGCCAGCCAGTCAGCAACACAAACCTCAGGGCAACGAGTGATCTGTCAGTGAGAGAGCTGCAGGAGTCAACATTCAACTTCATCAGTTTGTTGCAGTGCTGACCCAAACTCTCACATGCACTAAACGTGATGTGTAAATAAATTTTTATCGCCACACTTTTGAAAAATTACTAAACGCGCAAAATGATTGTTTTTTTTCAGACTAGTTCAATCCAATTAAATAAACAAGTTGCAGAAATTAAACTGATTCTAGAATATGCATATTTAAAAAACATAAAAACAGCATCTATTTCAATTTATACTATCTTGTGATCGGACATTTATCAGGATTCATGCTAGAATAAAACTATCACAGGATGCAAGTAGATTTTAATACCATTTTATTTTTCATCATCACAGACAACATCAACAAACACATTGCAGCAATAATGGAATGTTTTAAAAACCATCAGCACCATCATATATAGAACAGCAATATATTCAACATTAATGCGAATTGCTAGTTTAACTGAGATTATTTTCTAAGACAACCAGAGTGAGATGTGTTAGTCAAGGTGAGTAATGAATCATTTGTGAAAGGATGTGAACTTTCTTGCAATTATAGAAACACAGTCTGCTCATTATAAATGATGAATAGATGAAATTAACATATGCATGAAAAACATACATGCATAAACTCATCATTTACTTAGTACATAATGACTATTTTTTAAAAATATAAAACCACATTTGAAAATTTATCAAAACAACAAACACACATATAAATAGGTGAATAACTTTGCAACATCATTCAGTGTGTAAAAGCCAGAATAAGATCAGTCAGTATCCTAACTTTTTAGAGTGTGTGCGCGCGTGTTTGTTTGTTTGCACGAATTTGCGACTGTGCGTGTGTGAGCGTGTGCGTGCGTGTGACGTCTACCACCTAACTTGGCCTAAATATTTTTTGTTTGAATAATTGACAAGTAAAGTGTTACACATCAAGATGCAACCTAATGACCTACAATGTGCCAATGTCCTCTCCATTTAAAGACACACCTCTACCAAGCATCTGTAAAACTCTTACTATAAACTCTATATCTCAGATGATGTTTGTAGAGATAAAATACAAACAATAAAGGGAGTGCAACAATTAAAAAACAGTCATTAACAAATTAATATTGAGTGCCATCAAAATAATTATATTGGAAATCTTCTATACAAACATTCCTGTAATACGCACTAACATGCGCGCGCACACACACACAAATACACACATATTCACACACAAACATATAGAAACATATATATTTATTCATATATTTATTTATTTATATATTTATTTATTCATTTATTTTAAATCATCAAGGGTTTCATTAGCACGTACGCATCAGTAATTTTGGTGCAGCCTTCCAGGTTTAAAGCCACAATGTTCTGACAGTTTCTAGAAAATAATCTGAAGTAAAATGAGAAAAAAATTATTTCATTTTGACATTTGAATAAAAAAAAATGTCCAATAAAAAAAAATTAGCTGTTAGTGATATTAGAAATTATTTCATACGATTTGAAATAATATTGACATTTTTCAGTTGAATTGCATTTTATATTAAATTATATCGGTTTAATAAAATTTAACAAAAATACTCCATAGTGAGAAATGAAAGTGATTAAAAATATAATCAATAACATAGAAATATAAAATAAAAACGTATCTGAGCAAATATGAAACAGCCATTAAATCAGAACACACTACAATAACAATGATAGATAGTTACAATGACCTCAAAGATAATAAATAGGTACGCCCAAATATAAACAAATACAAACCAACGCATATTAAATACATACATAACACCATTGTATAGTACCAAATTCGTAAAAACACAATATAATACAAAGACATGAGCAAACACACAACAAAAGCAAACATAATTATATAAACTTATCAAAAATAACCTAATAATAAAGCATACAATATATAATATAGAAAAAAGGACAAGAAATTTGATGCAAAAAGAAAGGAACACAAACACACATAGCATACATAAACTACATACATTCAATAAATAAATACATAAACACACACCAAACCATGAAATATGTATTAACAAATATAAAGAAACCGTAGAAACAAACAAACAAACAAATACAAACTCAAGAGCATTATCAGTGACACATCTGCAGCCCCTGAGACTGAGAGATTTGAGAAATCCACCACACCTCTTTGAGAGGTTCTCAACCACTGGCCCCTGGATACAAAACATTCAACACATACAATAAAAAGAAAAACATACATACAACGCGTGCAATGCAATGAATCATATGACATATACAATACAATGAAACATACAATACAACAAAACATACAACACATAAAATACAACAAAACATACAACACATACAGTACAAAGAAACATACAACACATACAATACAAAAAATTATAGAACACGTGCCACAGAACAAAACGTACAACATGTACAATACAACACAATACTACATAACAAGATGAAAAAAATATCAAACATTAATCACAGTACTAAGCAACGAAATACAACACACTACAATACAATGCAAAACAACACATCACAATACAATAAAATTCATCACAACACAAAACAGCACAACGCCACAAAATACAATACAACAACATTCTCCCCAAACATGCAGATCACAAAAGCTGTACACAAAATTGAATGTTCTGCATACAAATGTTGTTGTACATATGTTTCAGGTTGGAGGTATACGGTTTCACAGTTTCAGTTGCACGTCCTTTATGTTGCATATCATATAATATTTGAGTACTTTTTGAACATGAATTGAAATTGTACCTGGAATTAAGGGTACCGAACATTTGTTCTGTACGCTGTTCTCTTGTGCACAATATTAACATAATTTATGCCCCATATATAAAAGCATAAGTCATGACAGTAAATACTATTTCCATTATAAAATACATGTGTGAATTTATAAGTAAAAGTTACAGAACATCATTTACACTTAAGGATGATGATAAGGTTCATATTCTTGTGACACAACTGTATTGCACACAATGATTGCAAAACTTTGAAACAAACATCCATGCAATGCATACTCACAAATATTTGCAACACGTTAACACAATTTGAATCTAAAGACGAAAACAAATGTTGATATGTAGCATAACATACATGAATAGATCTTTGTAACATAGAATCACTTGCAACAAATTTACAAATAATAATTTAAATTATGAGCCAAATAAATTAGGCTTGCAGTAGATACAAATAAATCATATTTATGATATAATTCTGAAGTCTCAGGTTGTAAAAATAAAACATAATCAAATTAAAATATGTGAAGGCAACTAAAAAATAATTTATTTCTAGAGAACTTTTAGAGAAATAATATGACGATTAGAAAAATAGAACCAACAATCTAAATATGGAAATGATACTTTTCTAAATAAAAATCACAATTACCAAATGACTGTTGCAATGATGATGACACAGATGTTTGTTTCATAGGTGAATGACATCAATTTATACAACATTTTAATCCATGGATATCATAGTTAATGATTATTCAGACTTAAAATAGAGGGCAGCTAAAAATAGAGACAAGTCCCTATACATTCAACATGTTAAAAAAAATCTATTTAAACTTTTTATCCACACCAACAGCACCTAAAAATTTTATGATAATTATGGTTTGGCTGGTATGATAGCTTAGATAGCACAGGATCACCTCTTACACTATGATATAATGCATCTGGTTCAAATGTAAAGTACACTATATCTTGACAATTACATTCTTAAATGAGTGACAAGATAGTATGCAGAGCATGTTTTAATGTGCATCTTAGTTGTGTAATTGCTAATATTAAACTGTCTGAAATTAACCTAGAGATAAAGTTTCTAGTGTAATTGAAGTTTCAAAATAATGAGCCATGTACAAACCTCAACATCAGTTTGGAAGAAAAACAAATCAACAATCTGCCAGTTGCTGCCATCGAGAGCCATCTGATTCCAGTACTTGCACACACAGGCACACCGACACAAGCTTGTCACATCCAAATATGAAAATATTCTGAACAAATTTTTTGGGAATCAATAAAAATTGTTGTCAATTTATCAATTTATTTAGACTATTGTAAATTTTATCAAAACATAAACTAGTATTCCTGTTTTGGAAAGAGGTTAATTAAACAAATTTAACAAAGTTTAATAAAAAAACACCTCAATATCAGTTCCTTAGGTAAATATTTGTGGATCAAGCTTACTCCAGAGATTGAATTGGAACTTACGTGCTGTTCATTGAAAATAAATAAATAAATAAAACTAAGTGATAATTAGGGAGTATTGAAGTAATGAAGTATTAATTACATTAACTTATTAAATTAAATCATTGAGCAAGAAATTCAATCAATGCTATAATATTACATGATAACAATTATAATTAAGTTTTAATTTAGATGAATAAAAAATTTTTTTCAATATTTTTTTTGTTATTTCATTGTGTACATGATGTGAATGAATGTGTTACTAAAACTAAGTAAGTTAGTTAAATTAAATTAAAACTAAAATAAAAAGGTAAATAAAAAATGATGAACAAATTAATCAGAGACAAGTGGAATTTAATATTTAATTTAATTTTTAAAAAAGTAAGAGTCCAAACTACAATTTCATTTCATTTGATTCTAAAATTTAGAATCAAATGGAATGAAATACAGAAATTGTAAAAAGAATTATTTTATTAACATTAACTGATTAACAATGAAAATTTGAAACCTCTTTTTTGTTCCTCTGGTGTCGATGATGGTAGCCATTGCCGTGGTGTCGTCGCGGGTCGGCCATCGTTAAAACAAATTTGAAATTTGTTCAATTAGTGTTAGCTGGCAACAAGATTAGGGAGTTCAATGAAAAAATGAAAACAAAGGAAGAAGTTACTGTCTACTAAGATAAGAAGAAACAATGGAAATGAGTTGTTTTGAAATTGTTTTTAAAGGCATTCTAAGAAACTTCAAATAGAAGAGATAAATAATTTTGAAAGTTGATCACCATTTTCGACAACTTTCAATTTTTCACGCGTCGACAATCAACCGATGTCCTAATTTTGTAACTTATTTTTGGCGATTTAAATGAAAACTGGAAATATATAATGTAAATAAGTTTAGGAAAAACACTAAATAAAGGAACGAACAGCTGTATAAATTTACATTTTATTGCGACTTGATTTTTTGGACCTTTTTATCAAATAAATCATTAAAACGTAAATTAAATCACAAAAAAAGAAAAAAATGTTTAAAAAATAAGATGGCATATTAGAGCTGCAGATATAAAGAATTTTACGATCACGCGTTCATTTCCCAGCCAGCTGAAACTCCATAAATAACATCACACAAGATGTCTTTCACTATCCTTTCAGCAATGTTGTCATCAGATTTTATTGGTGTTGATTCACTACCATTGCCTCCTCTCAAGTCCATGCAACTTGCTGAATCCATTGTTTCAATTATTTCATCGCTCGTGTCAGTGCAATGTTCGTCATCAAACTCTTCTTTACCGGGCTCCAATGCAAATATGGAACGATCAGATGGAATGAAGTGCTTTTGCCCCCAAGACCAACTATGTTCGTCACAGTGGCTGTAGTATTTTTAAGTTGGATTAATTTTATAACTTTATAAGGCTATGCTACCGAATAGAAAAATAAACGAATAGTTAAATATTATGTAATCATCAAGGTTTTCTTGATAGATTTTAATTATTACTTTTTTTATATAAATGTATGCGTGTGTGTGCGGGCGTGTGTGGTTTTGTAATCAATATTACAACAGACAATCAACACAATTGAAAATACTATTTTTTGAATGCACTATCAGATGAAGTTTTTTGAGGAAAAATCGATAACAAATTGGGCTGATGAGTTAAAAAATAATTTTGGTTTAACGAATTGCATTATGTCACTAGAAATATCAGCCGGGTCGTAAAAATGCAAATGGAAGAAAATGAGTGGCTCTTAAGCGCTTGTCGTTCAGTAATTAAAAGCTTGATCTTTCGATCTTAAAATAGACGCTTAAGTGAATTTTTGCATTCAGGTGTGACATTTCATTGCTAAAGAAGTATAGCTGGGATTATAAGTCCTACACGCGTACTACATATATATATTTCATTTAGTTAAGGTGGTCTACACATACATATGTATCTTGATCTCCGGTGCTTTTGCCGAATAAAATTATGTTCTGTTCAAATTCAAATATATATATCGGCGTCGTAGGTATCTATTTCGTTATTTTCAATAGCTTGAACCATAAACATTTTTAATACAAAAACATCTTAAAGTGTATGTCTCAATGAATTACCTACACGAATTGAGATTTACTAATGGACCTGAATGTTGACATGGAAACGTTTGCGTCATTGTACTGTGTTTCAGCTGTTGTAGATATAGATTACCATAATACTTCTCTGCACAAATTTTAATGTGTGAGGTCTGTGATGCTCTTCCTTCCAGTAAAGTTTTCATTGAGCAGAATAATATAGGATATCACACAACCAATATAAATTAACAGGTCGTTTTTTCAATACCATTTACAAAATTAACACAAAAACATCAATGGACATATGCCAGCCTTTTGCAGACGCCTTTCAACCAAGTATCAATTGATTTGAAAATGTATTTTTGCGAATGATAAGAAGTGGAAACAAATTTGAAATCTTCAAATTCCTGCACCTTGCCGGCATGCCACCGTGACCCAATCGTTTTTGCACCTTGACCGAGAAAAATTTCCACATGAGTTAAATCATGTTTTTGAGGTTTCACTATACAAAAAAGTAGGTGAATAATTTCGTAAAATTTTTGATATAGCTCAAAGCGAAGAAAATATAAATCAATCACCCCTTGGTTTGTAAAACGTCGCTGCAGTAAATACCAGATCTCCAGGCAAAACATCCTCTAATTTTTCAATTACGTTTGGTAACGTATCATACTGGTAACTTTGATTCCACGGACCCAAGCAAAAACCAAAATTTTTACGTAAATCACGCATAATTCGTCTTACCAAGCCACAACAATCAAGGAAGAGGGGTGAATTATATTCCGGATCTAAAACAAATAAACATGGCAAAACAACTTAATTGTAGGTATTATTAACATGTATTGATTTTTTCTATAGAAAGTAAAATTCAATCGACAAAATAGTAGGTATAGTACCTTCAGGCTTCCAAAACTTTCTAGCGTAAGGAGTTCCTATATAATATAATATCTTGCTCTTTCTACAAATCTCATTCTCAACATAATCATGTCATCTTCACTACTGCTTAAAGAAGTTTTGTGTGGCGAAAATGATTTCGAGTCTGTCTCTTTTGAGGTCAATGAATCAAGCTCTTTTGAAGACGCCAGTGTACGCTGTTCATAACAATTTCTTGTGTCATTTTACAAGTATATGTTCCCATTCAACTAAAAACACTTTTACCTGTTTCCTTGTTCTATACCTTTTGAAAGCGGATTGCAATGATGTGGATTTGCTTTTTAAATTCACCGAATCATCGTTAACGGCAATTTCAAATACCTCAAATCGCTTGATACAGTTGTCTTTGTCATTTGTTGGTTTGTTATGTTGTGCGCTGTGAGTTGGCACTGTCACTTCATTATCAATCTCATGATGTGAAATAGGATTTTGATTACACCCGGCCGCAAAAATATTCACTTTATTGTTTTCACACATTATAAATAAATAGTTAGTTTTCTGAGGTTTTCAACAAATTCGAATCATTCCGTTATAATTTGTTGCATTAGATTCCCATCGGAACGTCCTTCTTCAAATGAGTTATGTAACTATTGAAACCATGATGTTCGTACATTAAATAGTTGATGCAACCTTGTATAACATTCAAAAAAGAAGCTAGGATTTAACATTTTTTCAGAAAATCATTTTGACTATATCAAATACAACGATCCCTTACAAATAACAGAACAAAAATGAATAAAATCTTGTTTTGGTTTTTGTTGATCTTGACTACAGAAATAATCTTTTTTCAAAAATCGTTCATTATGTATATATGTTTAATAAAAACATGCATATTATTATAATAATTCTACAATCTAATTTATAGAATAAAATACAATAGAAGCTATATTCACAATTTACGCAAGTTTTGCCACATTGTAACTTTTAATTTGGTCACAGTTTAGCAAAAATCTCTATGGTTATTTATCATCTATTTATTTTATATGGTTGTTTACAACTTAAGTTAATTTTTGGATTCTTTTCATCAAGTTTGACTTGGGCAAACAAAAAGTAACTTTATAGTTTGCACTTAATTTGTCATGACATTGCTTAAAAGCTTTACTGGTGTAGCGTCAGTCATTTCAAGATTCCTTCTGTCTAAATCAAAGTTAGTTTATCTTCTTTTTTTGTCAGGTCCGTGTTGGCGCCTGACACATCCCCATCCATTGCATTCAGTCATGTCATCAATTCATTTTTAATCATAATATGATTGTTGTTTTAATTTTATTTATTTTTTATTAAAAGTTGTAACACTTTAAACCGATGTGTTTCGTCTCAAGTATTTCCAGTTAATGAAAGATGGACTAGGTTCACAAAGTTAGTTAGACTTTATAGTTTATTCATTTATTATTTAATAGTTAATACTTAATAATACCAATTAATTAATTTAATTTTTTATATTAAATTACACTCATCATTTATTAATATTAGTATGTTTCACATTTCGATTTTATGTATGTATGTATAACTTATTTATATTTAATTTTTTATGTAATTAAAGCACATGTTACATCTATTTTTAATTAATTATTGCCTTTATTAATTAATGTAATGACAATTTTTATTTTTTATATACAGAGTGGTCCATCCAGGCAATGTGCAGATGTTGAACATGGTGCAAGGAGGGGAGATAATGAAGTTTCTTGAGGCCTCTGCTGACATTGCTGCCACCAAATATTGCATTAAACATGGCATTAAAGTCAATATATATATATATATATATATATATATATATATATATATATATATATATATATATATATATATACACACACACATATATATATATATATATATACATATATATATATATATATATATATATATATATATATATATATATATATATATATATATGTATAATTGTATATCAGTTTCTGTTTTATTCAAAATTTATTTATTATTAGTCTATTTAGTTTGTATAAATAAATTTTTGTTTTTGCTGATGTGAATTCTTTGATAAATTTCTTTAAATTGCTAAAATTTTACACCAAACTGATTACATCTTTATTTGTACATTTTTAACCAAACTAATTAATATTATTATAAAAGATGTAAAATTTATTGTAAATTTGCTGAATTTTGTAGAGTGCTATCAACAAGCCACCTCATCCAGTTTTGGTTGGTGTGGAGAGGATTGAGATTACAGGGTCGGCTGTTGTTGGAGATATGTTGGAATTCATTGGCCAGGTCACCCATGCAACTTCTAGGTCATTGAGAATTTCTGTTGATGTCACGTGTCACTGCTGGGGTAGTCTTTGTTTAGCCTTCTAATTAATAGTTTTTAAATTTGTTTTTATATTCAATGAAAAATAAATAAGTGAGTTGTAGTGTATAATCAAGACACAACTCTTGAATGGATTTTAGGAGATCTTTGAAATTTAACTTATCGACAGATGACTTTTCCCGCAATTATTTAATGGCAAAAGCCTGGTTGTGGTATGTTCCAATAACAGTGAATGACAAAATTGGATGTTTCAATGTTGATTCCATTGAACGAGCCAATCAAAATGTGGAGACAGATGAATTTGTTAAACAATCTATCAACAATTACACAAACATGCTGACAACATATAGAGATGCTGAGAAGTATGCTTCATTGGAACATCTGGCTAAAGATCTGATTGCCAGTATAGTAAATTTTTATTTTATTTTATGATTATATTTCAGAAATTAATTAATGTTTTTCTGTTATTGTTGGTCTGGATAATTTTTAGAGTTAATCATATATATTTTTTTGTTACAAACACTATTTTCAGGACCGAGGGAAGGCCTTTTTAGCACTATGTATTCAATAAGCCCATCCGTTTGTAGTGTGCTAAATCGGTGTCAAGCAGGGGAAATTTTGAGGTGCATATTGTTTTTTTCATTTTTCTACTTTAGATTTTCGTGAAGTTTGTTATTAGTTGTATTTGGACCAATAAATTTTTTAAGCAAAATTTATGCTTCCCAACTGATTTTCATAAAATATTTGCGATTTTATATTTCTTTTCTTATAAATCTTTTTTATATTTTTTACACTGTTTTTTAATGATAAATGTTGTGACCTGAACTGCTAGATGGGTGGACGAATTTGGAGCAATGTGTGCATACAAATCATCCATGCATAAATCTGTCACTGGCTCTATGGATAATTGTGTTATATTCAAACCCGTTCCTACTGGTTTTTTTCAAATTATTACAATTTAATTTTACTGTTTGTACAAATTATTTTACATTTATACAAATGTACTAATATTTATTTGCAAAAGGTTATATATTTTTAAGTGTAATGGTTCCTATTAATTTTTCTAGAGGGTATAAAATTAAGAAAAATTGTTCAGAGATAAACCCTAGCATATTTGTTGAATGTTGTTTGACAAATATGCTTTTACATTGATCATTTAAAAGTGTTTATAATAACGTTAAAATTTATCTTTGAATATTCAGGGTAAGTAATTTCAAAAGACATTTCATGTAGAAACAGACTGACTTTATCAGCATCATTTTTTATTTATTGGAGATAAAAAAAACATTTAAAGTGCAATTAAGTTAAACTATAAATAATTATAACGATTTCTAATTGTGTTTTGTGAATAAGAGAATATTTGCTTGGATACGACAGGAAGTTAAAAAATATCGAATTTAATTTGATTTGAGAGGCAAAAACGAGCAGTGATATTTATTATATAGAGGTAAATTATGAAAATAATGGAGGATAATTGAATACTTTTTTTAGTTTGATATTTTAAAAATAGTAATCAATCATAATATTAATTTTTCTCAGCAATCATGTAACTATAACAATTAATAAATTTTTATGCATTATGCATTTAACGTTTAGGAAGCTGTGTAACATTTGTGTCCAGGCATGTTTTTTCAGGAAGCAGATCGCTAGATATTCAGATAATTGGAACTTTAGACAATCACGATGGAAAAGAAACGATATTTTTTAATGGATTCGCGACGTTTGTGCTTGCTAAGCTAAAAAGCAATGAGAACTTCACACTTCCTGCATTTCAAGTATTGTTTTTGTAATTTAGTCACAAATTTATCTTAATTATATTTTATATTTAAAACACTTAGCCAAAAACGGAAGAGGAGATTGAAACTTACAAACAAAGAAAAATTCTCTATGAAACGAAAAAAAAATATCTGAAAATACTGAAAAACTTGGTTGGTTCAACAAAATAAATTTCCGTGTTGCATGTTATGTTAAATATATTTTTGTTTGGCTAATTTGTATCAGCCATTAGATTTAACGTTCACTTTGTTGCCTAATTCCATTAAAAAATTAATGACTTCCCTCTAAACTAAACTCATAGAAAATCACGATAACGTTCAAAATATGGCCTTCTTTTTATACTAACAATTATGAAAGTCTGTCTGTATGACTTGTTTTATCTTTCTTGAAATAGATTGAGCGTTGTGTGGTCCATATTTTTGTTTCCATATATATTTAATAGATTTTTAATTTTTCTTATGAAGGGCTAATTTCAATATTTCAAATTATTTCTTATGTTAGATATTGTTACTTTATTTGAGCAGTTTAAATTATATTTTTTCGAAGAGTTTTTAATATTTTATTCTTGAAAGATTTAGATTTACTAAAATTTGCTTTGACGATATTTAATATAAAATACGATAATGAAAACATAGCAAACAAAGCATCATTAGCATTATATTTGGAGCGTGACGATAATCAACCATTTAATTATAAATCACGCAACGCCATTGCGTAACATAACTGAGTGGACTATTCACGCCCTAGAGGCGCTTGCAAATATTACGTAACTATAATCTAGATTGGTCAGCACCGGAATCCTAAGTATTAAATAAAATTAAAAAAATACTGAACTGTACATATGAAATCAAGTATAATCTGGATTGGTCAGCACCAAGATTCTAAGTATTAAATAAAATTAAAAAATACTGAACTTTATATATAAAATACATTGCATATATATGACAGGAATAGCTTTTTGTGGTCTGCAGCAATGTTCATTTCCTGCAAAACATTACTAAAACAAAACTCGCCCATTATCGAGCAGATGCGATGTTGTAAAAGTGGATTCGTATTAAACTAAAAATTCTTGCAAAAGTTCGGTTTTATGTTTTTTCATTTTCTCGATAGGACATTGTTTGGAAACACTTCGGTTTAATCACTCATCAATGAAGCTTACTTTCCACCACACAAGTAATGGCAATAATACTAGCAGTATTTGCGAAAACATCATTTATCATCCGGATGACTTCTCTGAAGCCAAACCAAATGATGTCATAGAATTGACACAAACAATAAAAGATGTCACAACTCGAATTCTTTTCAAAGTATCCAAAATGATTTTTAAGATTTTTAAGATTTGTAATTTTTAATTTTTTTCTTTTCAAGTTTTCATAAATCATAAAATTATATTTGACTATTATTCAGCATTTAAATTTTTAAAGAATAATTATTATATAATTATAAAATTAGTTATTAAATAAAATGATACAAATAAATTATAAAGAATAAATGAGCTAATCGCCTATGAGTAAAAAGACTAAGTAAATAAAATCGTTTTTGAATGCAGTAGGCATGTCTATTTATTGAAAAATTACTCAGTAAAAAATTAAGTTAATTCAGTTTAGTACTTAAAATCTTTCTCATTTATATCTCATATGGATAGAGATAATTGATAAATAGACAAATGCTAATTAATTTCATTTCATTAATTAACATTAAAATTTAATTGTTAAATTTTTATTTAGATTTCCAAAAAGGAGTCAAGTGAAACATACATGCCTGCTAAAGGAACAATAAGTATTCCAGCAGCATTGGGGAAAAAATTTGAAATGAAATCAAATGCAGATGTCTTTATTAAGGTAAGACATTAGTTTTTAAGTTCAACCACATTGAATTTTTGATCAGCTAATAAAATAATGCAGATTCTCACGCAAAAAGAGTTGGAATCTGTCTCACTTCACCATGTTGAGTTAGTATTTCAAGATCAGTACTACAGTAGATCAGACATGCTGCGTATGAGGAACTTTTTGATGAATAAAATTTTGTTTTATGAAGAAAAAGTTAGTTGGGCCATTTGTTTAAACAATTAATTTTTTATCATAATGTTAATAATTTTTTTTATAAGATTGAATTGATGAAGATGAGAGCCAAGGTTGAGGAATTGTGGTGTAACATCAAGATAGATGATATTTGGTATAATTTTAGGGTGACCTGTGGTTTAATCACAGACAAAACAAGAGTCAGCTTTCGGTCTTCATCTGCCCAGGTATTATTAGCTTATTTAAATTTTTCAAAAAATCATTTTCAAATTGGTTAATTTCTGCTTTATTTGAACTTGTAATTGTCTATAACAATGAAATTGTATCTGTTTTAAAATTATTTCAAATTTAGAGACAAACATCTTAAAATTTCACAAAAGATATAAAAAAAATGCATGTGCAATCAAGCATGAAATTGAATAAATTGCCTTGTTTAATTGTAAAATATCATAGTATAATAAAAATTTTCGCTGATTTTATTTTCAATATTGTCTATTAATAATTAAAATGAGTTTTTTGCAAAATATTTTTTCAGGTTCATATATTTATTCAGATGAGTTCTGAAATGTGGTTGTTTGATAATTATGGCCAGCTGTATTTTGAAAAAGCTGTAGATGGTTATCTGTCACATTTGTTCAAACTTTGGAGAGAAAAAAAATGCAGCCATGATGTAACAATAACATTGTTTTCTAGAACATTTTATGATGCTAAATCTGTAGATGAGTTTCCAGAATGCATGAAGGAATGGATTAGAGAAGATAATAGAGGTAGATTCTATGAAGATTTTTACTGGGTAGTTGTTCAGAATGATCGTAATGAAGACTGGTCTAAAACTATCGGAAGCTTGAAAACAATCTTTTCAACTTACGACAATGACGTTTTACATTTTCACGAAGATAAACAGTTATCAAGAGGTTCCAATGAAGAAGCAATACAATGGAATCCATATGCTGCAATGGGGCTGAAAGGTCGAGAAAGGTGTTCAAGTGACAACAACGAAAAAAATTCGGGAGACAAAGAAAATGATGAATTCACCAAATCTAAACCTGAAAGAAAGAGAAGAAGAAGTTATAACATGGCAAGTTCGATTAATGCTGCTAAAAAACCACCAGCCAGTTTCAATTCAACATCATCAGATGGTAATGTTTTAGAAGTCATCAACATGGCATTGAATGTTTATGAAAAATTCTACATGGATAGATCATTCGAAAGGACAGGCAAAATGTCAATGATCATTACACCTGGAGTTGGTGTGTTTGATGTTAACAGAGAGTTGATGAACATTACAAAGCAAAGATCTATTGACATTGGGAGTAGTTGTGATCTCATTTGCTTAGGAGAAAGACCACTATTTGCTGTTCCATTGTTCAGAATTAACCAAGATCATATTAGATATCCTCATTTACTGGTGGAAGATGATTATAACATACCTCACTGGCTCAACCTTAGTTACTACAATTCAAATATTCAAATTGAATGTCAAATTCAGAACAAAGCTATGTTAGATGTAGATCATTTAGATATAATAGCTAAATGTAATTCAAAAAATGAAAATGATGTAAGCGTTTATGAAGCAGATATACTTAAGACCCAGAATAAAGATTATAACAACTATAGTAAGCAAAAAGTACAAGTTGAAGATGATGTGTCATTTATAAATTATGATGATTATGACACTAAGGTTTTTAAGTACCAGTCAAAACCAGAACAACAGGATAAATTTTCTTATCTTCCATATAGGTCCACAAGAGTTAAATATGGAGAGAGAAGAGAAAGAGTTTCATTCACCATTGCCACTACTGGGCTGTTTTCAGATAATCAAGAAAATAGATCTCCAAATATAACTATAATCAATAATGATAATAAAAGTGATGAATATCTTTCCCACTCATTCTCAGGTAAAGTTTCAGAATCTGATTCTCACTTCAGTCACTGCAAAAGAATGGCTGGTAGTGTAACTTATCCATACAGTCACCATCGCATCCCAAGTTTATCCCATGATAATGACAATAGTGGGAGGGGCAGTGCAACCAAAACATTGGTAAATCCATTTTTTCCCAGTAAGTTAAATTTTAAATCAACTTCAAACAGAAATCGTTGGGCTCATGCATATCCTAGCGGACTGCCTAACAGCTTTCATAAAAATACCAATGTTAACCAAATGTTCAGGTCAATTAGGGAAAATGTTTCTCCATCTAGAGAATCAACATTTTCTGAAAGTTCATCAATATTTAAATTATTAAAACCGAGACAAAAGCACACGTCTGAATGCAGTGAGTCTTTATTCAACCCAGGATCATATATCGAAAGTCCGCCAAGACATCTCACTGATAATCTTATTAACACTTATAACAGACAATTTCCTCAGGCTGGTAGCACTTCCAGTTTAGCAAGCAGTAGCAATGATATTTGTGGTTCCCTGAATCGTTGTAAGTCATCAATATCATCAAAACCACATCCCCTGTATGCAAGAAGAACACAAACTTTAGAAAGAGAAATGTATGATAATCATTTCATGAACTGCAAGACAGGAGACTTGGAAAATAATTTTCCTGTTTATGCAACAATGGATTGGAAATCTATGACTATTCCCCCAATACTTCCTATAACAACTGACTATTTTCCTGATAAATATGTATTGGAACAATTCTATTTATATTCAGAATACACATTGGTTTGTGAAGAAATTGATTTGAGGTTCAGTGGAGTTTATGGTGCTAGACACACGCCAACTTTGAAAGAGGTTTTCTACGAGATGATATACCAACGAGTGGCTCAGGGGTTTCAAATTATTATTGAGCAACAGCCTCATCAAACGACATTTCGAAAACCTGGCTTTCACAAGTCAAATTCGCAGAACGTAACACAACCTGTAGAAGATATAATGATGAGCATGGGTAGATTATTCCATAAACTTACATTGCATGAAAGTGACATTGTTGTCAGAAGGTACTGTCCTCGACATAAATTCACGCAACAAGGCACATATAAATATTCGTATCGATTTCAAGTACCAGATTCCTTTTACTTTGACAGTTCAATAACATGCTTCAAGACAGAGACTCTGGATATGTATAATTGGAATTATGTAGATCATCATTTGCTTACACAAGGAGAAGATAGTGCAAGATTTCTTGAGTCACTAAAATTTTGGAGAGCAAGATTCGCATTGCTGCCATGCAATAATACTGGAACTAAGATAATACAGGATAATATTTACGGAAAAGCTAATGTTTATAAGGAAAAAGATTTGAAAGAAAAACATGAGTTGGTTGACGGATTTCTCAAATTTATCGAGTTTATTAACGGAATTAAAAAGCCGTGTGTGAAAAATGAAAGAAGAGGCAGTTTAGGTTTGACAATTCCTAAATATGAAAATAAAGTCGAAGATATCAATGATAATTATTTGTATGGATCTCAAAATATCGCTGGATGTGTAGTCACCACAGGCAATGAACACTATACTTATACAGAGTCATCCAAGTACTCAAAAGTCGTAAAAGCAATGCTTGATCCAACACACGGATTGAATTTCATAATGTCTCCATATGACTGGATCAAATTACCACCGTACAGTTTCATATCCGCAGATGCTGTCTGTTGGCTTATGAATAATGTTCGTGGCCTGTCATCAATAAACAAAGCTGTCGATTACATGCAAAAATTACTTTATGAAAAACTCATCTGTCAGACACCTGATAAATATATCTTTGTATATGGATTTAAAATTTATTGCATTGTAACTGAATCAACATCTACTGAACACTTTCAACAGATTGATCAAAGTTTTGTCGAGGTATCATATAGCTAATTACTTCATTTATTCTACAACTTTTTCAAATTTTCAGTTTTTCATTACTTTTTTGAAATTTTTTTTGTTAGGTTGAAGTGCACCCTGGTGTTGAGGAGGAAGACAGTTTCATTAGAAGGCGAAGTACTCAACCTATGACTGTGATAAGCAAATTAAAACCATCAAAATCCAATATAAACAATGATTACTCACAATTTAAGACACATTCAGATAGTAATTTATACAAATATGTAAGGTTGGAAATAGATAATGCAAGTCAAGAAAGACAAGAATGGGGTGTGTTAAAACACCATAAGACCTACACGCCAACTTGTGCATTTGAATTAGCTTTAGAATGGTTAGTCGCCACTGGAAGTATTTTAGCTGAACAAGTTAATGCTTGGGCCAGGAAAGCATCCACATTCGGATTTCATTTATTGCCCATACCTGCTGATCCATTTGCTTTGCCATTTTCTGCACAATCAGATCCTCTAAGAGGTCCAATATACATCCCTATGGATGTTGACTGTCTTGAGGTTAGTGCTTAACATCATTTTGACAATAGATGTTATGAACCTTTACATTATTAAACACAACTTTGAAGGGTAACAATTGGCCGAAAATTGATCGAGTCAAGTTACTTGACTTTCAAGACCATATATTAAAATCGTATGGGTTCATGCGGGACAAGTGCACAACGTCCATGAGCTTATCTGAAGATTACATATCATCAAAAGTATGAATTTTATTTCTATTAATTTAAACTCAATATAACTGTTATTCTTCATTTATTAAAACTCAGTGTGCAGATTTACCAACGTACATACACTGCACCGGCGGAATGTTCATGATGGTTGTATCAACACTTAGCAGGAAGACTGACAATAAAAAGATCACTCAAGACAACAAAAACAACACTAAAACAACCTCAACGCAATATGAAAATTTTGTCATCAAGCAATATAACAAGCAAGTAACCAAAGGTAAAAGTTCAAGGTCCTCTTCAACTCATACAGTTGGATTTTTGTGGGCATGGAACTTTATGTTATCAAAAAAATGGATGACTACACAAACTGGCAATGATTCAATGCAGGACACCATTCTACAAGACTTGAGGAATTTTAACAGCAACGAAGAGGGTCGTTTGAAAGCTGCATGGAATCAATTCAAATAATCTAATGGCAGTGACAGTGGATACTATAATTTCTAGCCAATTAAGATCGAAATAGTCCTTTTCTTCTATTTATAATATTTAAATAGCAATGTTTTGAAATTAATTTGTATTATTAAACTTTCTATTAAGTTTTGTTTAGCAGCAAAAACGTCACAACACTGAATGTTGAAAAATGTGGTCAAGTACAAGAGTTTTTATATTATTATTTTTTAAAATTATCTCCAACTTTTGCATTAAAACATTTTCAATTAAATTGGTTGGTGTTGTAGCAATACAAACTTTAAAAAATCAATTTTGTAATTTACTGTCTTTATAAGTCAGATGGAAAATCAAATAGTTGATCGTCTGGTGTGTACAGCTTCCTCTTAAACGGGGTCTTTGCATTGGAAATTATTTTCTGGCTAATATTCATTTCTTTGTGGCTGTTAGCCGGCAAGTTTGTGGCATGCTGGTTGTTTTTCATAACATTATTTCTTTTTGCCGTAACGTGCTGACGGGCACAATTGCTTCTTTTCTCTACAAAATTATCATGCCCCATCCCAGCATTGTAAGAGTATTTCATATTGAGTGCTTTCTCTTTTGCAACCTATAAAAATTAAATAAATGGTTACATAAATACATATGCAAGTAGAATCTTTTTAATCCAATGACTCATGAATCATATCTGTACTAAATTGGTTATTTGAAAAACTTCACAGATACTTGTAAAATTATTATCAATCAAGGTCAGAATGATGTGACCCTGGGGAAACTCTTCACAAACGTGCTGCTTAATTTTAAAAACCACTTAAACCGATCTTCAAACGTTTTTAAACGGCTATGAAAACGTTAAGTACGTGCGCATACAACCTGGCGTTCTTAAAAAATGGTTCAAGTTGTGTAAGAGGTTATTAATAATTTTTTTACGTATATAAGATTATTCTTCATCTAAGTGTTTATTAACCTCTTTGTTTTGAGATAGTCCATTTTGATATGGTAGACTGTTAACAAACGCATTAAGGCTTGAATACATATTTGAAGAGATGAGCAATGGATTGAACTTCTCCATCAATTTCAACTTTTGAGAAGAATTAAATCAGTTTATTGTATAACTGTAGTACATTTTTTTTAAATTTTAAAAATTTATGCAGAACAGGAAATGTGATGTCCGAATAAAATTTCATTATAGCAAAAAAATTTGTTTCTTTTCAAACAAACCGTTTAAATTTAACATGGTTCTTTTTTGAATTTGCTCAAGTGAAAAATTGTGAATAAGAAATTTTCGACATGAGAAATTCATGAATGGAAAATTAATTCTGTGTCTCACTGAATTTAGTTCACTGTTAATAATTTGCTGACTTTCCTCACTGCAACCGTTGAGAGGTACTGTTTCAACAGGCAACATTATTTCACGTGTTGCTACAGGTTTCATCAGCAAGGAACAACTTGGTGATGATAATAGCACAAAATGAGGCTGGTAACATGTGTTGGCCATATCCTTACGTTCATCTTTAATTTTATTCGGAAAGTTCTTTTTGAAATTAATCATTTGCTTCTTGTTATGTTGCTGAACTTTAGAATAGCAATCTTCATCATCTGATGATGAATTGAATGTTCGTTGATTATCTAGCTTCACAACAAGAGCACGTTTCTAAAGGAGTAGTTTGTTTCGTAAAACATCAACTGGTGATTACTGATTATATGAGACCTTACTTTTTCATTCAAGAGGTAGCAGAGTGTTGAAAAGTATTGCTTGTTGCTTTCTAACTCATCCCAATCCAATTTCCAGCAAGTTGTGGCTTTCAGTATCAGTGGCTAGCAATTATTTTTATTTGTAATTATCAGTAACACAAGTTTAAATTTTTGTTTCTTTCAATAAATAGGTAAGTAATTTATCTTACATTTCCAAAAATAACAGAGTCACAAATTGATTCAGCTGGAACTAATGCAACAACAAGTAATTGTCGGACTGCAGTTTCTGACAAGTTCAGTTGTGAAGATGAAGATAACATTGATGGAGGCAATAAATTTATGTTATTGAAATCTAAACTGATATCCTGTAGTGGGAGAAAATTGAAAATGTTGGTCATAATTCACAACAATTTTAAATAAAATTACACCAAAGGTTAAATAAAATTTACTAACAAATTCTTTGCAACTGGATATAAATAATAGATTCAGCATTGCTTCTTGCATATCACATTTAACAGTAAATCCAGATTCTAATGAATATTTATTTTTTCAATTATTCTTTTTTAAATTATTATGAAATTTCAAACTGTAACCAGACCAAAAACAATTTTAATAAATTCACTGTCCGTATTGATATCATGTAACCAGGCCATAAAAAAGTTTTGTAAACACAGCAAAACTGTTGACAAACAGGTTAATTGATATTAAAAAATTCATTAGATCAATAATAATCTAATAATCATACTTGGCTCTAAAACCAATGTTTCAGTTAAGCCAGATGGTTCGGTTTCTGTACCAAAAGTTTGAAGGTGATCAATATTATCATCAGAGATTGTCAGTTCATTCCACATGTCATGAATATTTTTTAAAAAAACTATTTGAATTTTCTGCATGAATGTGTTTATGTTGAAAGTAAAATTTTAAGAATTTTATAATCCTACTAAAATGATATTTGTTGGAATTAAAAATGTTATACTCTAATGTGTTGAAAGTCAAGTTGTTTTGCAATATGCTCTACACCAGGGCAAACTAATTTTTGATCTTCAGTAGTAAAGATTGTCAGTTCCAGTTGCGATTGATATCCAGCTGCCTATGAAAATTTTATAAAATAGTTTTTTAAACTAAATGAGAGCAAGAAAAAGCATTATGAATAATTTTGGTTAAATATGCATTGTAAAAAATGTATTGTTAATGGTTGTTAAAGTTCCACATGATCCAACGTTTATTTGCTAAGGATAGACATATTCATTTCTAATTATTCTTGCACAAGTTATTTTTAAATCTTGAACACACACCCTCACCATTGATTATTCTAATGAAACAAAAATATATTATAATAAAATGAATGTTTTAAAATGTAAACTCTGTGGCCCTTATTGTGCATCATAAATTAAATGTTTATATTTAAATCAATTTGCATGCAATGTCATTAATAAATCATAACATAAAATTACAGTTAATAAAGATATTATTTGATTTTGGAACATAGCCACAGCTTCTTGAATTCCAATTTGAAGTATTTCAGATTTAAAAAAGTTTGCATTTTCATAACTTTCACTATCAATATCTTCCAATTGCCATTTTAACTTTGACAAGGCCATAGAAATTTTCATAAAATTTCCTTTTACATGCAAAACTGGCAATAAAACCTTGAAATAATTTGATAATGAATTAATAATTCAGAAGTTACCTCAGTTCAAAAATGAAGAAAAATGTAGAATAACTTTGTATTGAGTGCCCAAAGTAGCTATTCCAAAATAAGGCAGCCGATTTGAACCACTTAAATTACAAACAACTAAAAAATAATGTTCCAGAGCCTCAATTAATTTTAAACCAGCCTCTTTCATATTTGAAAGAACAATCATGACAATCCGAGCTGCAATAGATTGAATAAATAATTTTAAAAATCATGTAGAAAAAATTATAAGTTTTCAAATTAAAAAAAATTTGCACTGGTTTCAAATGTTCACTGTTCAGCCCAGCACATAATAAAATTCTAGAAATCAGTAATGTCCATCGAATTGCATTGCATGTTTTGTTTAGTGAACATTACTTGATCTGATCACTTTCAAGGAGGTGTTTCTTTGCGTCGGTATGGTTAATTTTAAATTGTTGCAGATCTCATTGTCGTGAGGTTAATTTTATTTTATGTCGTAAATCTTTCCCGCTTCCAGTAAAGTTCATAATGGAATAAAAAGTCAATACCTGTCCATTTTATTGAGTTTTGTTTTGAAAGGGAATGTAAAACTTAACTAGACAAAAAAGCATATAAAAACAGACAGCGTTTGTATTTGCAAAATTTGCATGCACTGACCAGCATTAGTGTTATTTAAAAAAAGCCATTAAATAATAATTTCAATTTTTTACCTGGCTGCTTCACAAAATTCAATTTGTTCGACATGTCCGAAACGCCCTAACATCTACAAACTTTGACGAGGACAAAATAAGCAGACGACAAAAAACATTATCAGTTTCACAGAGTCAAAAGATAAGTTTTAAGAATTGAAATTATTAAAGGTTTATTAAAGGTTTATTTGTTTTATTCTATAAATGTGATTTAAGGTTTAAGTCATATACTTAGAATAAAGATTTGAGTTTACAAAAAAATATTAAAATTGATGTGTAATACTTTTGTCCTACCGATGTTGTTCGACCGTATTCTTTTAATTATTGGTTTTACTTGGAAGCAAAAACTGCTCAGTTAGAGAACATTGCAAATCATCTTTCATGTGACAATCAGAAGTTTGGCAAGATAAGTGTGTATAGATTGGGTAATGTGTTAACAAATTTTTGGTTGATGACGGATTTTGGGTATTTCCAAAATACTATGAACATTTCTCCGTTCACTGGCATAACGGTTAAAATAAAACATTCATGTACAGAACAAAGGACCAGATCCATTAACAACAATTTTAAACGAACTATAAAAAAATTTTGAAGGGAAGAGTTTTTGTACTTAAGCCTTTCTTAACCACGTTTCTGGTTAAAATAATGTCAAACAAAAGACACCATTCAGCATATCACGAACTGCAGAAGGCAGGGACACAACTTTTCAACATTATAACCAATCCATGAATTAACAGTAAAAAATATTTTCAAGAGTTTAATGGATCACTAGATTATACTATCTCTAGGTAAGTTGTTGTTGTTAAGCCATGTAAGATGCATGCAAAGTGTTCTGCTTAAAATTTGTTCAAGTGAATAAATTTAGGTTAAATGCAACGAACCACTTATAAATAAATAAATGTAAAAATAATAATATTGACATTAATAGTAATAATAATCATAATAACAATAAAACATATCTATATAGTATCTAATTAAAGAAGTCGAGTCAATTTGTAATGATTTTTAACACGTTAAATTCATGTTTTAAATTCATTAACTATAGGAGTATAAACCCTAACCCAACGTAAATTTTGTAAAAAATAGAAATTTCATGTTACAAAAAATTTAAGTTTATGTTTTAGATTTGTCAGTTATAAAAACAAAGCGTAAATTATGTAATCACCCTCTTGCTAATGTAGGACGAAAAACCTTTTGTGATTTTAATGGATAGTGTCAGATCGCAAATCCTAACATTTAAAACTAACGATCCTCAATAGCAAATGAAAGCACCACAAATTAACGAAGGGATATATAAGGAAAAACTATAATACGATTCTAGTAGGTATTCGGGCTGCTGACGAGTCTCCGGTAGGGGCGAAATACTTGTCCAGTTTGTCTGCTCCTCTTGGTTTGGTGTTCTCATACATTAGAGCAACCGCAACAATAGAAACAAATTTTTTCACAGACATTCTCTCACGGACATTATTTTTTATTTGTTTATCTTGTTTGAACGATTTTCACATTTGCTACTTTTTATTTTTATTATCAACAATTTCATGTCAGCATGGTTTTAATGAGCGTTTACGACTTTGCACATCAATAGGAAAAAGAATAAAAACCCGTCAAACTATAATTATAAATTCTAATGTTATGTTATATAAAGACTCTTTTTAATGAAAGATAATGGACAACTTTTATTTTAAATGTCTGTTTTTGTTTGAATAATTGAATAATCTTTCAGAAAAAACTTAAAGTTTAAAATATTAAAAACTAAACATGCGTTTCTGTAAATGTTTGACTGATTGTCGACAAATCTCTTAAATAATTCGAATCATGTTTTAATTTTTCACAGTTTTTTGACACTAAGTTAACATTTAAACTCAGAGAAGAATTGACGTCAGAGTTGCTCGTGGTTCCGACTAATTCTACCTCTTCTGGTTTTTTTGCACTGATCAAAATTTTTTCTTTTGGACGGCAGCATGAGCCGTTCTTTGAAACATGTATATCCATTATCGAATCAGAAGAGTCCATTTTTATTTGCTTACTAGGGACGATTCGTAAAGCTTCAAATATTGTTAAAAGGCCACAGTGCAGAATGAAAACGGCAGACATCGCGTAAAATATAAATTTAAAATGGTTATTATTTCCAAGATGGTGGTCGTTTGATAGGTGTACAATTGGATTGCTGCCTTCAGCATCTGGAAAATGTTATATTAGGTTATTCAATGAATTTGCTACGGGCACGAATGTGAATGATAATTGTTCTAAAACAGTTAAACCAATATAATATATAGAATACTTTTATTGATTAATTTGAATTAAAAAAACCCAATTTCACCGTCGATATAATTAACTCCTGGAATGACGACGTTGGAGATTGTGAATACAATTTCATCGTACAAACGCCTTTCAACATGACTGCACTCCTCCACTTGGACATCTGATAACAAGGAGAAAGTTCGTTTATTGATCATTTCATCGACTGTGACTGAACCATTGATTACAAAAATAAATCAAAATTGTTAATTTTGGTTTGTTTATGATTTTTCGGGAAAAGCCTAAATTATATTTTCATTTGATCTTAATTGAATTTGATAATCAGTTTTTAGTTCATCCTATTTAATTGATTAAATTTTTTTATACTTTTTTAAACAAACAATATTATTGTGTTACAATGATGAAAAGAAAGTTTTGTTTCCTACTTAAGAATAGGCAGAGCACGTTACTGAGAGAGACCTCAAATGCGAATGTTTCAAACCTTCCCAAGACGAACCATTTTATATTTCTATCTATAAAAACCGCTTCTTCGATTAAGTCATTTCTATTTTCAGTTTTTTCTTTTGAGGCGTAAAATTTACTTAGATTTTCAAATGAGATTTGTAGCATCACCGTGAAGAAGACAAACAAAAAAATAAAAACCGACGCGAAACTTAATAATTCGATGAGTGTTGATTGGGTGTTGGTGGTGTCGGAGAGTTTTGTGATTCTCATTATTTCTGATGACACATAACCATATTCGTTGGCAAGAGCAGAACTCTGCGAGGGTAGCGTTAATGAGGGCTTGTTGAATAAATTCAAGTGGTAGCTTATTAATCTGTCCTTAATTAAACTCACACTAGAATTTTCATCGCCCCAGTCACACTTGAAATAAAAATTTTCATTCGAATTAAGAATTTCGTCGACGTTTTTGTTGCTGGAAAATAAGGCACGGAGATCTTCTGATAAACGAGACGAACGAATGATTGATGGCGGTGTGGAGGCTGACGATGCAGGATTGAAGAAATTAGCATGTTGAGTGTTTTGTGTCAGCGCATTATTCATATCGCTACTACTGTAATCGTTGAACTTTGTGAACGTTGAAAATATGGACAGCGATGGTAGGCTATTGTTTGATAAATGTTGAAGTATTGACGATATTTCTGTCGAACCAGAATATTTTCTATCTTGATACAGTTTTAAAAGTTTGCATAAATTTATTTGCTCAGGTATGGTGCTTTCGTTCTTATTCAAACTGTTAGGGTTGTTTTTTTGCAAATCGTTTGAAATGTTTTTCCAATCTTTGTTGCTGCTTGAAGCCGTGTGGGAAGCATTCTCCATAGTGCTGTTGTTACTATTAATTTTGTCGTTGTCGCGTTTGTATCTGCAAACAAAAATTTCAAGTGGCTTACCGCTGGTTTGCGCTTTGCATTCCGACGCTGTTACTTTTATTAAAAGACGGTAAAGCATTGAAAATATATTTAAAACTGCCAGGAGGAACAAACAAACCATGCAGTCAAATGCAATGAGGATGTTTTCATTCTCTGAGGCGTTGCTATTTTTGTTGTGCTTTTTGTTGTCAATGCCCTTTCCGTCGTCTTCAAAATTATTTTGGTTGTATATGTTGCAGTCTTTGATCTTTTTATATTCTATGTTCCTAAACATGTCATTAGGAAAACATTTGGCTTTCGGATTAGCAATGTTGAAATGAAGAGTCACATCAATTTTGTGCCGGCCTACATTTTTGTTTGATTTTTCATTGACCAAGCAGCATGTGCAGCACATTTTGTTCTCGCTAACAAATGTTGCACACGATGATGGCCGATTTACGGCCTGGTTAATAAATTTTTGGTTGGGGCTTTGTTTCTGCTGTAGTATCAGCGCGAACTTTGACTGAAAGTTCGAGAGTTTATTGTTGACGTTGTGAAAAAGATTGGTAATGTTGGCCGGATTGATTTTGTTCTTTAAAAATAAATTTCTATGAAATTGCAACAGATTTATACTCTCAATTGTAGAAATCTGTTTCAGTAAATATTGAATGGCGCTAACTCTTAGGCCGTACAGTTTCTGTTTTTCTATTTCTATATACCACTTTACGGATGTTTTGTATTTTTTAAAATTCGTAATATGACTTTCAAACAAAATATTTGAACTGAAAATTTCAATCTTGTGATAATCGAAGAAGTTGGCGGAATATTTAATATTAGTTTTGTTTCTCCGGTAAAGAGAAAAGAAATCTGACAGTATCGTTGGTAAGACGACCATCCATTCATTGTGGACATCATTTTCAAATCCATATTTACTGTAATACTGAGGTTCGTTCAACGCATGCAGCAGTGCATTTTTATTGTTATGAACGCAGCTTGATTTAATAACTGTGAGAGGTTTATTTATTTTCGTCTGCTCTGTCGGGTGATTTAGTTGAAATTTGTTTACTTGCTGACAGCAGGATATTACAACGTACGCAATATTCAACATGAATAAAATTTTAACAAGATCCAAAACTTTCAGCCATAGTTTTTTCTGAGTTAAAATAATTTATAATTTTTTAAATTAATTTTTAATAAAATGTTTTAAAAAATTAATGAAAAAATTAATTATTGTTACAAAAAATTAGCAAAACAACAATTCTGCAAGTTATTACTTATGAATCAACTGACCTTGCAAAATTCCAAAGCAAAGCATCCAATGAAACTGCTTTTCAAATTTGAGTCTTTCTTTTGGCAACAATTGCGACAGAAATAACTTTCTTCGGTTAATTTTTGCCGACGTCTAGAACGCCGTCGTATGTTGTGGTAGTAAGCAAGAACTCGTAAGAGCGAAAAAAGTTGAAAAACAAGAAGGCCGAGAAGGAAGATCATTATAAGATCGACATGTTCCTCATTCACCAAGATGAATTTCTTCCTTGAGTTACCCGTCGTGGCCATCTTGTTATTCGAATTGCTAATTACTTCATCGGCTTTACTCCAGCTATCGTTTTTACTGCTGATGTTGTCAACAATGTGCATATTGTTGAAATTGTTGTTGAGTCTACTATTGTTGCTACTGCTGTAGCTGTTGTTGTTGTTTCTGATGTTGTTGGGGATGTTTTCAATGCTTTCAAAGTTGTTGATATTATGATTGTTGATGTTTTGATTGTCAGCGTTGTTGACGGCGTCGTTATGAAATCTGATTGAATGCGTTTTCTTATAAATATCTTTCGTTGGCTGAACATGATGCTGCGAGGAATGCACATCATTCGTGATTTCATGTAAAAGCTCATCGGAGATGTCAACGTTTTTTGAAACTTCAACAAATTTTTTGTACGTTAGTGATGAAAGAATTCTTTTAACAACCTTCTTTCCGTCGTCCAGAACAATTTTGTATGATACGTGAGAGAATATTCGTAAGGACATTTGTTGACACCTTTTCAACTGTTGTTGCATTTCTTCGTTGAGCGGTTGTTGTTGCTGCAGCAGTTGAACTTGATTGTATTGTTGAGCATCCGCTTGTTCTTTGTGATGCAAATCTCGAAACAAACTCTGGCGATTTGTATGATATTGAGGCGTGGCGTTACGTAGCAATGAAATTTGTTCCTGTGAATTGGAGTGGTTAACGAGGAACCTTTTCATTCGATGTTGTGTGTCTGTTTGCCTCCTTTGCTGCTGTTTTTGATGGTGATAATTTTGTTGTTGACCATGTCTGGATGTCCAGGAGTGTCGTTCATCCTGTTGTTGAGAAGATTGTTGTAGTTGCATCATGTGGAGTGATTTCTGACGTTGCCTGTTCAATTGCTGCTCAATCGTTGTTGGACAATGAAACCACGCAACAAAATTAAAATGCGATGGGCAGCCAATGAGAAGGTCGTATCTAAACAACTCTTCATTCTCCCGCCAATCATCTACCAGCAACCAAACGTATCCCGGACACTTTGAAGTGTTTCCTGAATGGTTCGGTCACATGATCATGAATAAATTAAGAATGAAAACTTTAGATAATAAAAATATTTTTTAATATTGCTCAACAACGTCAATGACGCCAATATTTGAGTTGGTAAATATTTACAATGAATTGAAGTAATATGCATCTACATAAGAAGCAGTAACAATAACAATTAGAATATTACAATTATTATTAATATTTTTTGAAAACTTTTGATGATAATACAATAAATGAAATAATTGAAGATTTAAAAGGAGGCGTGAATCAACTGAAAAGAAAATATAGTGTGCTGGTTTAGGGCATTATAAATCCGCTCAGGTTCATGCTCCTCAACCTTGAAATTGATGGCAGAAAATAAATGACACAAAAAATTGCCGTGAAAAATGAGTCTGTTAAGAGAATATTCAAATAAGAAAAAGTACAGGTGTAGATTCTCGGTTATTGTATGTATGTATAAGTAAATCATTTTGTGATTGTCGAATCCAAATAAACTGCTACATGGTTTGAAAGTGAGATTCGTAATGCCATTATATCAAAGCAATCATTAATGCGTTGATGATTTTTTATTTCTGTGCTACGTCTACGTCAAAAAGTGCATGTTGATAAAAATTAAAATGTAAAAATGTTACCCTAAAAAATTCAACTAGACTTATTGGTTCGGACTGTGTGACTTGTTTAATTGTACGAAAGAATCAATTGTATGTAAGAACGCGATGTTATTACATTTCAGTGTGAAGGATTTGATGGATCCCAGCAATATGCCTGCCGCGAAAGAGAAATTGACAGTAATGCAATTATGAAAGTTGATAGATTAGTGGACAGGAGCCTTGCACGAAGTTATGGTAGCGATGGACATCATGCCGATTTTGAAAAGGCAGCTGGTTGTGTCAGATATTTTATAGACTAATCAAATAAAAAAAGAGATTGATTGGATAGTAAGTTATTTCACTGGAGAAGATTTTTCTAAAATTAAAAGCCGTTTACGAAAATGTTAAATTAATAGAACATTGGGAAAATTTTGTAGAAGAAGCATCGGAAGGAATAATTTTTGTGATTTAAGTCAGGGATTATATGAAATGTATAATGATGTGATATTGTTCGTCTGGTGTGCGGCTGAATTATTCCATGTTTGCGCAACTGGCATGGCAAAATTGACAGTGAAATCTTGTTGAAATGAGTTACAATTTCTCGTGTGGGAGTTATGCACGCAACCGCTATGATTCGTTCGTTCACATAATATGGCACTTATTATGTGATTTGATTGCGGAACGACTGCTACATGGATTATATTTATGTTCGAAGATGTCTAATTTTGAATCGTTTTTAACAGAAACAAATTAAAAATTTGAGAAAAACAAAAATAAATGTTTGTTGCTGAATAACACGAAGTATAAAACGACAGAATTATGTCTCAAACACCCTTGAATCTAAAAAGTATTCTATTGGTATTTTTATTGGCCTTTGATACTTTGGATCCTAATATTTTATTACATAAATTATATGCTTACGGTATAAGAGGTGTTGCATACAATTGGTTTAAATCATATTTAAATGATTGCTATCAATATGTATGTGTTAACAATTCTGTCTCTCAACTGGCGTCGCGCAAGGTTCCATCTTTGGTTTATTATTATTTAATTTATTTATTAATGATTTTGTTTGCTGTTCTACTGCAGGGGTGGGCAAACTACGGCCCGCGGAGCTTTTTCAAGCGGCCCGCGAGGCCCTGTTCGCTAAAAAAGGTGTCAGCCAGACATTATGACCAAAAAAAAGAGCCACAAATCTTATGAATTAAATTTTGTATATGCTCTTTACATTATTTCTTTGATTCTTGTGCGAGTTTTTATACCACCGGCATGTGGTAACAATCATTTTTACGTTTAGAAAACTGGTATAGGGACTTTTTATAATTGAATAATAAAATTTGGGATATCGCTAATTTGGCTGAAATGTATGCATCAACAATACAATAATACTACAATATTAATACTACAATAATAATAATTGAATACTAGTGTTAAACGTAAATATATTAATATTATTAGCTCTGGTCGCAGCAACAATATTGAGTGTAAGTAGTAGCTTCGACAATAATGTAGGTAGCAGTTCTCATATTTGTTGTGAACATTAAACTTGTTTTATTTTCATCGTTAAATTTCCTCGAAACATCATTCTCTGAGAGTTGCAGCCATAAAATAGGATTTATAAACATAGCCATCATCGTAGCCATCGTCGTAGCGATCATCGCTGCTAGCCACATACATATTCATCATCGTCGTGATCGTCGTCTTCATCTTTTTCAAAAATTGTTGTCTCATGTTAATGATGAAGTAGTTATTTCATTTCTCCTTAATTCAAATAAATACAAGTTCATTTTTCTGAAATGCATTGTGTGGATGACACGCGAAGCATCAGGACTATAAATGCATTAGGTTTTAAGTTTTTAAAATCTCAGAAGTGTCTTTTGAATTTGAAATCACATTTTAATAATAAAGATTTTTTTTCAATCTTCAATCTTTTGCTGTTTTGAGTTATTATTTTTTTTGTTTTATTTAACTGCTTTCATTTAGAATTAATTTGTTGTTCGATTTGATGTTTCTATGATATCAGTGAAAAATTAATTCATTTAAAGTTTTATTTTCTCCGGAAAGAAACCATTTGAAAATTTTAAATTATAAAACTTACAGGATCAAACATGACTGTCAGGTTAATAAAACGTTTACGTTTGAACCTCATCAGTACAGTGCCTCTTTCTAAAATTTCTCAAAAACCAACTCAATCACTTTATCCAGGTAACCTAATGAATTAATACTCCCTATAAAAATTAATTTCAGATTATTTACAACAGTGCAATCTAATTGTCGAATAACTGATGTTAAACTTATAATAAAACTTTTCAACGCAACTAACGACTAGACTGTTGTATATTTGGATCCAGGCATCTCTTGTTAGAATTGTTTCGTCTGATACCATATATTGCAGGTGTTTCATAAACTTTATTAATTTCAACAAGTGCAAAACAATTTTTATCAAATTATTTTTTGCAAATCTTGGTTACTTTTGTATTTAATAAATTGTTAAATACATTTTGAATACTTCGAATGGTCACGGTTTAAAATAAATTCGAAGTGTATTTTGTCAAATGCATTTTGTTGTTAACGAGGGCCCACCCATTCCACGGCAACAACAAGTCATCTAATTGAAGGCAGTATGCAACTTTTTTATTGACTGGTATTTTTATTTCATGTGTTCTTCAAAAGTATCAAATATTTTTAGCTCTTATTTGCCTCCATAAAAAGCTAGTTTCTCAGAAATTGTAAAGCATTTATTTTGACGGAAGTTAGCGATGTTACACAAAAATTATTTATCCAAAGAAAGCACACGCTGAAGAAGTATTCATTAAAAAATATGAAAATTTTTTTTGTTTACTGACTGAAATTATGCGAGCAACATGTGGTGACCAGTTTGGAGTGCTATTCAGTTTCAGATTGTTTAAGCATAAGTTGATTAACACAATTGCATATCTGCATTTTGTGTTTCAAAAAAACTGATTATGTTCAGCTTTTATATTAAAAACATTTCAATTATTTAATTTTAACGGTGATTTCAAATACAATTAGCCTTATTTAGATATTGGTTAACGTCATGTGTATCGTTTCTCACCGCTATATTTCTAATTCCGCAGTTTCTCTTCACAAGAATTATTACATTTTTGCCGAACGTCGTTATTCTTTATTATCCTCCTATTTGTCGCTCTCGTTTTCATCGCCATCTTTATCCTCTTCTTCCTCTTCTTTGTCTTCCTCATTTTCATCAACATCCATCTCTTCTTCTTCCTCTTCTTTTTCTTCTTCTTCTTCTTTTTCTTCTTCTTCTTCTTCTTCTTCTTCTTTTTCTTCTTCTTCTTCTTCTTCTTTTTTTTCTTCTTCTTTTTCTTCTTCTTCTTCTTCTTCTTCTTTCTTCTTCTTCTTCTTTTTCTTCTTTTTTTTCTTACTCCTCATCTTCATTTTCATCATCGTACTCAGCATGATCAGCTGCAGTAGCAATGCTTATCAGCACCTCCGTGTCAATAATACTTGCATTTAAATTTTACTCGTAGGCAGTGAAAGAAGAAGGAGCTGTTATTGACGGACTAACTAATGAAGCCATCCATCCACTGTTCATTCACCTACCTTGCCATCCATCACCCTATGTGACCCTATAAAACTCTTCAGTCATCCATTTAAGTCCTTCTTTGTTCTGTTCTTTCATTCGTTTCTCTATTCGTTCTTTAATTGGTTCATCAGTTGTTACTGTTATTAATCATTAGATTTTTAAATTGTTTACGTGTTTTTTAATTCGTTCGCACGTTTCGAGACGTTCATTTGTTCGGTTGTTTGTTTGTCCTTTAGTATCGTGTTGACTATTTATTTCCTGATGATTCAATTACCTCTACATTTGTTTGTACATTTGTCAAAAACTGCTACAGTGTTGTTTTACAAATTGAAAATCCTCAATTTTTATTAACCAACTTTTTTCGTAATTTATTAGCGGCGAATTTTTAAACGTAAAAACGAGTGGGATGTAAAGTGTAACCAACCATTTTGTTGTAACATTCATCGGGTAGGATAGTTACACACGTGCGTATAGAATATATAAATGCATACACCAGATAAATCTACGTATAAATTTTTATAAACTTTTGTTACGCTTCGTTAAAATTTGAAAAATTTGTGCAAAGAAGTAGTAGTTACATTTTTTTCAGCTCATTTGAAGCAATTTCAAAATTTAAGAAAGAAAGAGTAAGAGAGAGAGAGAGAGAGAGAGAGAGAGAGAGAGAGAAAGATGTGAAATGGAAAGTGTACGTGCTTGTGGATACTTTTTCAGCAGCCTCCTCCCTGTTATTCATCGAAGCCATTCATTTGTTTGAATTGCAGAAATGCATGCCCCAACACGTGCACGATGTTTGCTAGAGTATGTATCGCATACTACGTACACGCATACGTGCAAGCAAACATTCGTAATAAGTTGTAAACATACGCATGAGACCAAAAAAGTGGTCGTAATAATTTATGCAGATAAACATTTGTAATGGTTGTTGCAAGCCTTTCCAAAACCTTCCATCCAATCAAATGATAGAGACAAGCGCCTGTACACCTGTACAACAATGATTTTTTTTTATTATTCTTTAAAAAATCACTTACTTCGTGATTGAAGCATAGCGGGTTAAATGATTGATCCCCAGCCTACATTGGCTGAGATCAGTAGAATGTCAAATATAAACATTCAACTTAATATGACGTGTTATATAAATAATTCATATAAGGAGATTTTATTTCAGAAAACATAATTCTCATGAGATATTGTGATATTGTGATGATGTGATGATGTAATGGTGTGATGATGCAATGATGCGATGAAATATTTCTGTGTTGAGACGGCCTACGATTGAATTGAGATTATTTGCTACTCGTTGAGTTCCGCCTTCACACACCCAAGCACGAACGTTTTTCTTAAACTAGTTCCCTTCTTCAAACGTGTTTTCTTTTCTTCAACAAGTTTAACAGAGTTTGCTTCGGCATAAATAATTCAAAGAATGATGATACAATATTCATAAAGTGAATTTCAACTTCTTCGCAGCCATCAAAATAATTGCTGATTATGTAAAAACTCAGTGAGCTGTTAAGTGTAACTACTTCCTTGCATGAGGGCAGGTTATACATCATCCAATTAATGTCAACGCAACATTAACAATTTAAATGCAAAAACAAATTTCTAGCTTTTCATAACTCAACTCAGGAAACGGTGAAAAATGAACAAAAAATTTAAAAAGGAGAATGTTTGAAAGAAACGACATGTTGTCCATTTAATTATTTCAAAGGATTGGAATGAATGCATGGAATCTATCAGAAACCTAAAAATCGGTAACAAATTAAACAGGACTTGTTTGTGATATCGTTACATTTCTCGGTTGCTGTGAAATCATCTTACTGGTAATGTCCTAAATAAGTGCATATGCCAGAGCGCAATTTTGAATTATTTGTTTCAATAAAATTTGGTGAGATTTTTAAGTGCAGTTTATAGTTTCAACAAATATTTTGAACGAATAGAGTTTGAGCTAAATGAGAAAAAATAAAATTGTTTCCAAAAATGCTTCAAAAAATTGCAATTTATTTAAATTGAATTTGATATAAAACGAAAGAAAATATGGGAAAACAATTAGTGCATTAAGACATCATAATGTTCAAATAGTTTTAAACATGTTTTAATTTTAAAACCTGTTTTCAAAAGGTAAAAAAATTTTTTGATTAGTCTACATAAAGAACATTTTTTTTTATTTTCTACACTATCAGCTATAAACAATTCGTGTAGTACCAGCTAAGCTATCCCAAACAGCAAATGAACCGACCAGCCAGTTTCAGCAGCAATAAATTAACTGGAAAAATGTTACATCGCAGTCACTTGCATTTGGTTAAAGATCAATTAATTATTATTTGACATACACATTTATACAACCAATAATTTTAACATTTTAACTCAAAAGATTTATTAAATATTATTCACGGAGATTTGTTTAGGAAGCGCGCAGTTCAGAAATGTACGTGCTTCTATTCAATTCTGAAGAACCAGGCTTTAGTTGAAATACTTTATGAGACTCCATCTTCCAAGCAAAAAAAATTGCATTGGATTAGATGGAAGACATATTCGTCTATCCAAAACTTCCAATAAAAAATAATTAAAGAGGAACATTAAAAATATAGCTGTCTAAAAAGATTATTTTTTAAATTTTTAAAAAATTTTCATTTTATTCACCCCTCTATTCTGACACTTGAATTATTTTTAAATTTCAGGTTCAATTTTGACGGAATGTGCGTTTAAATTTTTTGTTTAATAAAGAAAGTAAAAGACAGAAATAAAAAAATTAAAAGCTAAAAATTGTTTACTTGCAAAAAAGTAATTATAAAATGAAAAATATTAAAAATCAAAGAAAATTTTCAAATTTCAGCAAATTAAATTTTGCTAAAAAAAGTGATGTCTTTAAAATAGGGCGAACGTTTGAAAATAAACAGCCGCAGAGTTCAATTAGCTCAATGTTTCTTAACAATTTGATAAACTCTTCCAACTTGTTTGTGTTTGACAAAAGTTTTCAGTTGAACATACAACAACAAGTAGCCAAAATATGCCATCGTATGTGAAATTAAAAAAAGTTTAATGGAAGTTATTTTAATAGAAAAGCATTAAAATAATAAA